GACATGTTATGTAGATTTGCCGAACGAAGGTCATTTTGCGCGCACGTGCTTGCAAGAGCGCGCACGTGAAACACGTAAAATGGCCGATTTAATTTATTTTGGCATAACTTTTTACATTTTTGATGAAATGCTTTGAAACTCATAAAATAAGGATATATTAGTGGCATAGACAACATGACATGGTCAAAATAGCAAGATCTCACGCGCATGCACGCGCGCTTCGCTCTGATTGGCTGAAACTAAAGTCTCCATATCTTTCTTGTTTTTTGACAAAATCCTTTGAAATTTTGAACATAGACATTCATTAATATATCCTACAACATGATATATAGCAATTATCATGAAAGCACGTGCATGCACGTGCGCTGCAATCTGATTGGCTGAAACTTTAAATAGCTATAACTCCCTTGATTTTCAACCAAACAGGATGGAATTTGGAGCATAGATATATATAATGAACTTCTACAAGAAGGTATGGTCACCATGCACATACATACACGTGCGTGTACGTGCGCTATAATCTGATTGGCTGAAACTTTAAATAGCTTTAACTCCCTTGGTTTTCAACCAAACAGGATGGGATTTAGAACATAGATAGATATATTGAACTTCTACAAGAAGGTATGGTCACCATGCACATGCATACATGTGCGTGTATGTGTGCTGTAATCTGATTGGGTGAAACTTAAAATAGCTATAACTCCCTTGGTTTTCAACCAAACGGGATGGGATTTAGAACATAGATAGATGTAATGAACTTCTACAAGAAGATATGGTCATCATGCTCATGTATGCACGTGCATGTCCGTAAAATGAGTTAAATCGAAAACACACTTAAATGATCGTAATTTTTAATACTTTTGGATTAAATAATTTAATATTTAGTATATTTAATAACCATTCTCTGTAACCACTTAAACTTCGTTGCCACGCATGGTCACCGATTTTGATGAAACTTCACCCATGCTTAGTACTTGACACCAGAAACAAATATCAAACAAAATTTTGTTGCTAAGTGTCTCGGTTGCTATGGCAACAGCCGGAAAAGTTTGAAAAATCGAGATTTTCAGCCACTTTAAATCTTGACTGTGGCTTAATAAAAACTAGAAAAAGCAAACAAACCATTCTCAAAAAAACATGACACCTTGATGTTACTTATACTGTAAAGAAACTGTTTAGAATATATCTCTAAGTAAGTGGTAACCAAGGGTACATTTGGAATACATTTAAAATGCTGAAATATGCTGAAAAACACTCCATATTCACTAATGGTAGGTGTTACATGCTCAAACTCAATCAACGACTTAAGAAAAACAATGAAAATGTTTGACCTTAAGTATATAAGTATAAGCAATATTATTCTATAAATAACTTTGATGGTTGCCATGGTAACATAGTGTAACCATGCAAAACCAGTAACTAAGATTGGGTTAATGCTACTGTCTTGAGGAAAAACATGAAAATTTAAGACTGGCAAATATACATCCTTAGGACCTTGCAACACCAAAACCATAAGAAATATTGGGTATAATTGCTACTTTGCAGTGTTACCATGGAAACAAAGTACCAGTGCTTAAAAGTGAATTATTATTCGCTGCATTAAGAATCAAATTGCCATATAATCAAGAAACAAATTAAAGGACTCAGCTTGAATAGTACTTATCTGTTAGAACTGAAGTTGAATATCATATATTGATAAAACTTGACGAAGAAAACAACACTGTTGCTATGGTTACCAAGAAGGGAAAATGTTCGATTTTGTGAACTTTATATCAATATTAAACCCTGTGTGCCAGCTTCTTGCATCCAGTTAGAGATTGGATGATAGTCAAAATTAAAAGTCAGGTCAGCTGTTAATAAATATCAATCATAAAAGTTTTGGGAATCTACATTTGAGGGTACGTATCCAAGGTAACAAAATATTTTTCAGATTTTTAAGCATATTTTTTCTGCTTATTTCCATAGCAACGCTCTATTTAAAGAATCCGATCTAAATTTTTTTAAATGGGAAAATAAGGACCAACCAACATCTTTAAAAATTGATCATTAGTTATGAGGAAATGTGCTTTCTTAAAAGATAGGATCAGATTTAAACATACAGAGCGTAAATTTGAAGGCTCTCTGTTCTATAAAAACCTTGGCAACCATTGCCAACCAAACTGAAATATCATAATTTGTTCTTGGTATATGTTTCAAGGCTCTTTTCTCTATTATTTGATCACATTTCATCGTATAATTGCTTTTTATTTTTACGTGTATGACTTTATAAAATTCAATGAATATTTTTTTTACTTTTTAATAATTTGTTACCATAGTAACGTATGTAATAGTTGATTTACCAAACCTGTTTATCATGCATTTGAGGCAACAGGCCTTCAACTTTTGGAAACAGTCAATGCCAATTGTTTGCTTTGCCGCAAATGTTAATTATGGGGCTCTAAACATGGTAAAAAATGTTATTTTTTAAACTTTTAGACATGTTGCCATGGTAACTATAACACATAGCAACCAATTTTGCCTGATTTTAGTTAAGGGTATCAAAGACTTTTATCATAGAGAGTTTGGAGAAATTCTGAGACTATGCGTGCCACAGCTCCTATATAAAATTTCAAGTCATTACAGAGAATGGCTCTTAAATAGTATAAAGATTGGGTAGACAAGATGATATGGTCATTACGCACATGCGTTCACATGTGCACTTGCGCAATGCTAAAATTTGAATGAATTTGGCGTTGTTAAAGTCTCAAATACATAGTTTTTGTCCTATTTGATGAAGCTTACAGGGAATATGGCACCAAAAGGGAGTTGGGGAGCGTTTGGGGAACATCTGTAACGGTCCCCGTTACAATTAGCACTAGTTCGTAATGTTTTACTATTTGATTTTCAACGTTTAGACCCCCTTGTACATTTTTGGAAATTCTTGCAGTAAATTGAATGTATTGTAAGTTATTTTCTGCATCAGTTTTAATTTCATACTGTTCCGCATCTAAATTTTTATACCATTCCATGCCCCTAAATCCAAATGCTTTCCCATTATAATAAAACACAGCATATGAGAGCCCCTCAGCTGTATCCAAAGAGAAAACATCAGTATCCCAAAATTTCTCTTCACCTGCCCACGTTACAGGATCGCTTCTTTTTTTATTTACTCCTATGCCATTTGCTGTTAATTCCTTCATTCTAGAATCTAAAGCTTTCCGAAAACCTGCAAATACAGGGTTATCCTCCTTAAAAAAAAAATTAATATCTACCTTTTCACATTTATTTCTTAGATATCTCTGTATTGCTGAAGCAATTTGAGTTAGTGTATTGGGGGAATAGGGGTCTTCATTTTTGCGCCTGATTTCACAAATATACCTTTGGAGCCAAAAATACAGCATATCATGCGACAAATCCTTTGATTCCTCTGGTATGGGATTGCCTTCCAAGTGAGTTAATACTTGCAGGTTTCTATTTTCGGCCCAATCTTTCCATAATTTCATCGCCCTTGATTCATTTTGTCTCGTTTTTAATGGCACGGCATTTAGCTTCTTTTCCGCGATGTCCGACGCACTAAGTGGGACAGAAAACGCGCCCTGAATGGAATTGTTTTGTACGAATGCATATTGTTAATGTGTGCGAGAGTGTGTGTGTTGGAATTGGGTACGGTCACAATAGCAGCACATCACTACAAAGAGCGATACATTAACTTTAATAAGAATTTTCATTTTTAGGAAAGATCGAGGAGTGTGTTCACATTGAATTCATTTTAAACTTAACTATCTTCTATTGTGTAAAGAAAGAAAAAGTTCATATTCAGTCTGTCCAACAGTAAAATTCATATTTAAAATTTATCTCTCCAAATATTCTGTTCCTGTGGTTACATTTGTATTTACAAAACAGATACCTATAAATCAAACATTCTAAAATTTAGCCGAAATAAAGGGAAAGAAAATGAAACCATTCTTCATACATATAATCACAATCGCTAATAGAATTCCTAATGATAACAAAAACTTAATCGAAAATGTTTCTTTATTTCTTTTTTAAATAAAAATAACAGTAAATCAGAAACTGCTTCTACTTTGTGTTTATTGTCTCAATTGAATACATCAGATTTAAGCCAAATAATGAATTTATATTAAAATAAAACAATAAAATTATATGTTTGTTTAGGGGTAAGAGAGTGCTACAGAAGAAGCAAAGTTTTTGACACGTCCTTGCGGAATAGACAAGAAAGGTCTTTACATTTACTGGCAGTGGAAAAAATATGTTACAAAGCCTGAACAGAAAATAAACTATAAAGTAAATAATACATTTTTCTAACCTAACCCTGTTCTTTTTCGAAAAGTGGACAACAACGAATGAAACAAGGAATATACTATACTAGAAGGGAATACAAAATACATGTAATATAAACAAACGTAGCGTACAAAACATGCAATGAAAAATAATGTACAATTACAACCTTATAAATGTAAGAAATCAATAAATGTTTAAAGCAATCACTCTACACAAGCACAAGACATTTCTTTTGAACATGGGTTTAGAAATATTTATCACAGGCAGTCGTTAATGTTTTTTCCACCTCGAATTAATTAACCAATCTTCATTAGACCTGCAAACAACAGAGCACCACCAACCGCTGTCACTGAAATAAAAAAAAATATGATGAATATATGATCAGTTCAGAGAAACGACCCATAAAAATTTATGAAATTCAGTAAAAATTCAAAATTACAATGCTTATTATGTATTAACTGGTAAAAATCGTTACCTATATCTTTTGCTACTCCGTGAAATCCTAGACGCTCTAGAAAATCTGGTTTTCTGAATCCAAAGAAAGGACTAATTCCGGGACCAAACGTTCCCTGCATAGCTAACTGTGTCGGATATCCTCCCCAGATACTATTACCGTGCCCCCATTGTTGATTGTTAAATCCATACCTCTGATAGACGTCAAAATGACCACCGTATGAATTATAGAAGGGAAACATTCCATACCCGTATAGGTTATAAATGGGCTGCATTTGAAGCAATGTCTGAGGATGCAGGTACGAAATACCGCGAAGTCCGTAAGTTTGTGGAAGAGCAAATCCCATCATATCATAGAAGCTTCCCCCGAGCAGAGAATGCATATCATACCCCATAAACCCATATCCGAAAGTCTTTGGTAATACGATTCCAATTTGAGGAGTGGAGGAATAGCCATATCCTGTACCTGATACTCCGTTCCCATAATTCCCGGAATACGTTTTCCCATAGGAACTTCCAGCCTGCACAAACTGACCGTTTCCGTACGGTAATTGTCTGTGATATTTTTGTGTTCCCTGGCTCCAGCTATAGTCGTTTGTTCGAACAGATGGTAGGTATGAACAAACAATGCAAATTATTATGAAAAGCCGAGCTGAATTCATTTTTATCAACTATTTATATGAGTGTAAAAATCTTGACTTAGTCCTTCTGTAATATTCTTTGGTCTAACTATCGGGTATTTTCTGTGTAAATGAAGAAAGAGATGACCTATATATAGAGAGTTTATATGATTGAGAAATATGTAACAAACATGACTGTATCTTTTGCGGAAGAAAATATGCAGTGTATTCGTCATTTTTACACCCTGACCGACCAATACGGACCACCACAATAAAGCGATGTCACCACAACAGTTGGGGAATGACGAAGACGACCGGAGCCGTTCGATCCTCTCATTAGCCAGCGCTGACCTTGCTAGAATCCGCACATCACGGGGTTACCCGAAGTTACATCTCGCGGAGAGTGAGAACACATTACCATATGCTGTTTCGCAATGAGGAAGAAGATTCTCTCTAATGGCCGATGCAGTTATACAAAATTGCATTGATTTACCTGTTTGATTGGCTGACTAATAGCTAGGTATTGATATGATTAATGTATCTATATTGTAATAAAACTTTAACAGACTAACTATAAATAATTAGTGTAATTTGTATTAGTGTATTGCTCTCACAAGGACTTTAACAATTGACAGTGGTTGAAAAAAAAAATCAGTATAATACGAAAATCATTTTTAATTTTATTGAAACACAAAATTTAAAGCAAATATATAATTTTGTTCCGTTTGTTGTCCTACCAAACAGAAAGACTTTATATAATATGCCATATTGTAAGTCAGAATTCATCGGGTTGCAGTAAATATAAATTGTACAGCATTTGTAAACTCTGTATAGTTACTGGCACCCGGTAAACTCAACTTTCTTTGGTTGTTAGCATGGAAAAAATTGTCGCAGCTGTTGCAAAAAATGCTTAACCTGCTGCGTAATTTTTTTTCTGCAATAACTGCAATGTTAATTCCCGTACTAACAATCAAAGAGAGACATTTTATGTTTATAGTTACATCTTTATAAATTCATCATTTAAAGTAGGATTACAAAGATTATAATGGAACAGCCACGGATCAAATAATCTGTACAGGTGATATGCTTAGTGTTGTTCATGAACTGATAAACGGACATGTTTTTTTAAGAAGTACAGAAGAAAATATTCAGTGGATGTAAATATTTAGATGAACATGTATTTAAAAAATCAAATATTATAGGATAAAACTTGTTCATCTTTTTTAAACGTTATCCTGTAAAACCAATGGTTCACCCTGTTTACATTTCTTTCTTGTTTCAAATGAACAGGTGATGAATAAATAACCTTATTTACTCTTACACTATTATAATTACTTTAATAGTAAATTCTTTGGTACTATGATATAGTTTAAAACTTAAATTTTTGTTGTTGAAATTTTGAAGCTTAAACTGTTTTGATTTCGATAGCAGTAATAAAAATATGGAAATGAAATCTTGATGTATAAGTAAAAGTTACAGTTAAATATTAAAAAATGTACAGGTATAAACATAACAACACAACATATAATATTCCTAAATCCATAGAAAAAATATTTTGATTCACTGGTTCATAATAATTTAGAACATAAAATGAAGAAACACTGAATTTCTATTATTTATTTAATGTTTTGTGGTTTTTCCAGTTAATTATAAATAATTTGGGTAGAACTAGTCATGGCTGTTGTGGATTATCCTGTGAGAATTGCCTTGGCACCCGGCACAATTAGTCGGAACATAACTGGAAAGAAAATGTAAAATTGTAAGATTTGTAAAATAACATTACTGTACAAGCTGCGGATTTCTTTGTCAAGCCAAAATAAAATTATTGTTTGTTTGGAATTGCCTCCCACCTCATTAAAATGCCACCTCCTGATAAAAATTTATTGAGCAAAAGTAAGACGATTTTTAAAAAAATTTAATCAATTCTTGGCATGTCATCACATGCACCACACAAAACACTTACCAGGTACGTAGTGTCAGATCTCTTCAAAATCAGGATTCTTTGTTGATAGTAGATACTTTTTTTTTCTTTTCAAAAAGTCAGAAAATGTGGGTTTTTTTTTTTTACTTTTTATTTAGGATTTTTAAATTAAAGATTCAAAATTTATCTTCCTGCCCTCCCTTCTGTGTCTGAAACCATCCAGGCGGCAATTCCAAACAAACAATTTTTAAGGATGATCTCAAACATGCATCACGAAGATATACTCTTCATTTATGTGCTTTTGAATTTTGGAGTGATATTTTCATGGCGGGGATTTTCTAGTCCTTTATATTCTTATTAAGGACATATTCAATTTAGTTTTGAACTTTACTTTTCTTATTCCCGATACAATTATGGAGTTCAGAGTCCTAATAATTAAGGAACCTCTGTAAAATTTTATAATGTCTAGAAATCCTGTTCACCTCATCTGGATCAAACTAGATGAACGATAAAATCCCTTTTTCCCTTAAAAAAGCCTATCTTTTTTATCGTTTGATAAAGATTCAGAATTCACTGTTATGTGAATTTTTAAATCTTATAATATTTGATTTTGCAGGAAGAGTTATTTTGCAATGTTATCAGTATATAGGAAAGATACTGGTATATTGTGAGCTACATATTCATGTATTCATAATTTCAGATGAAGCGTTAAACTTCTCTTGTGCCCCCATCTTCGTTAGCCAAAGGTTTCTGATGCGCTACTCTTTCCACAAACGTTAATGAGGAGAATAGCGATTTAAAACCCCTGGCTAGTAAAGATGTTGTGGCCCTCGAAAAAGAATATAACACGACTTTGAGTCACATTAGTGTACAAAACAGATTCATTTAATTGCTTTCTTTTATTCATTATTTTTTTAAGAAAGCTACAATTGTTTTAAAGAATGTCAACAGACTTCCACTGGAAAATTATCCCTCCATTAAAAAGACATTGTTTGTTTGTTTGTTTGTATACTGTTTAACGTCCCTCTCGAGAATTTTTCACTCGTACGAAGACGCCCCACTTGCCGGTCGAGATCGAGCTGCAAATTTTGTCATACTCGGCACTTAGGGCCATTGAGCAATGAGGGTTTTTTTTATGCCAGCATCTACTGCAACACGGGACCTCGGTTTATACGGTCTCATCCAAAGGACTGGTCTCCACGTCCCACAGTGGGATATGCACCCGCGACGTAAGGATCAACTCCTTACTCTGCGACTCTAGTACAGACGCTCCACTGCGCCATGCGGGCGAATGTTATCACATGTTGAAAACGATCCAGTGAGTCTGCGTTTCGACTTACTTTAATTTAAACTTTCTGCAAATTTCTTTTTCAAATTCATGACCAAATTACCTTGATTTAACTACACCACTACAAAAGAGAACTTTAGAATTAAACTGTTATCTAAACCCCGATACAAGGTGTTGTATAATTATTATTAGGAAATGTTGAACCCAAATTTTATACTAGGAACAATGGTCTCAATACTCACATTCTTCACATAACTCGTTCGTGACAAAGAAGCGGAAAGGGTTTTTCGACATTCCCATCAAAGTTGCTAGATTATCCAGTGGAACTGTGCAGCTAGATATATTTATTTGATCTATCACTGAAATCAGAAAAAAATATGAAATACAGTACGAGACTTTTATACAAATAGGATTGTATACATTTTCGTATGCATGTTTTTCCATATGCATTTATCGAGGAATGTATTTCTTTGGTTAGTTGACTGTTCTCTCTCTCCTGATTTTTTTTTTTTGGGGGGGGGGGGGTTTAATTAAATAAAAAATTAATGAAAGGGCTCCTCTCATCAAGCCTGATTTCTTTTTTCAATTTCATTTACAAGATTGCATGGTTTTTCTTTCTTTCTTTCTTTCTTTTATAAAAAACAATCATAGTAAGTTGATAAAGATTTTATATTATTGAACTTCACTTCTGCATCCCTTGGGCCGGGTCAAGGTATTTTGATTTGAGACATACGGTATACCAACTAAGTATATAACTTAGGCTTATTGCTTGCCTTGTACGTCCATCTTATTGGTATTATGGAGATGAAAGAAATGTCATTTCAACAAATATATACGCATATTTTGAAAGATTGCTTACTAAAATTTTTGAGAATTTCCCTTTTGAAAGCATTCATAAAAACCGACGGTTGTTTCTCCTCCTTCAATGCCTCCATCAAAGTTTTTCCTCTCACCATCGGTACAGACGACTGATCTACAGTGGGTGGTAGTGGGAACCCGGTACCTGTCTGATCTAAAGTGGGAGGTAACGGAAACCCTGTTCCCATCATGCCAAACGGAACCGGAAACTGACATCTAACGCAGGCCATGACCAGACAGAAAAGCAGTGCTTGTAGCTTGTGCATCTAGACCTATATAATTTTTAAGCAAGAACGAAAAATATCATTCACAAATAATCTAAATTAAAATCAACTAAATTATAATAATTCACTATTCCTGAAAAAAAGAGGGTGGGGGGTAAGACATAAGCAAAATCGCATCTTCTCGGGTCTTTCCTGCAAGCTAGGAAAAACACCTCATACAAATGTATACACGTCACCGGATGTTAATGATATATTCAAAATGGAGTTACTTCCTGTTTATTATAAGAGAGGACAGAAGGAGTTGCACGTGCTTGTAGTAGTATTTTACAGTTAATGTCTTTATTTTCAATGAAGTTGAGTCTAATACACTACAGATAAGAGGTCTCCCTTCATTTATTTTAATGTTTATGAAAAGGGGGTGTGTACTGTCGTGACACCTAACATTTTCCGTTTGGAAGCTTGAAAAAAAAAAAGACAATTCGTATGAAAAACCAGATTTAGCCCTATGTTAGTATGTGCATAGCGATATTCAAATAGTATGATAATATATTCATCTAACAGAAATACATTTTAATTTTTCTCATATTTTCTGAAGAAAAAAAAACCCCTAAGTGTTTGATAAATCCTAAACGAGTGAAAAGGTGAGCTGTAGGTTTCCTCCGTGTCTGTCCGTCTGCCGTATTGTCCCCATGTCTGCCAGTCTGTCAAATATTGAAACGATTTTTGGCAGGTAAAGTCTGATGAGTTCTAGATCATACATTTATTTGCATTTTATTCTGATTTGATGATATTTTACGGAGTTACAGCTACGGAGTGTGTTTGGCAAGTTTTTCTTTAAGGCTTGCAAAAATTGAGCTGACGTATGGTCTTTGAGTGTACCATAATGCGGTTAAAATCAAATTTTTCATTTGTTTTCCCTCTACGATAATTTTCTATGGAAATATGGTCTTTATAATTTTAAAGGGAAACCAGATTGCACTTACGGTAGTAGAGTAGTATTGCTTATGCCTATCCCCACTATAAAAAAAATGTTCTATATATATGAAAGTCCCGTCCCCCATTTTTGGTGCAGTACACTCTATTCAAATAAGAGCAATAAGACTAAAACTCAGAAATATACTCAAAATGCAGTAATTGGAGGGTGGGTTTAGGAAAGCAGCCCCAAACCCATTTACTTTCATATACAGAAGCTAAAACATACATTTTAAGAATTATTAGTGGAAATCATCAGATTATGGTATATATGTTTCATGTATATATGTTTGCCCATTCAATGCATTCATACAAATAATTCATATAATAAGGCTTTTTCTGAAGTTTCAATATAAATGTTAAAAATTGAACTAAAATTTGAAATAGAGTTTTCGGGCTAGATGTCCAGGCCACAAAAATGACTACAAAAGCAGCCGAGAACCAAACCTCTTTAAATGCAAATCTGTCTTGAATGCAAATGAGAAGAGCCGGGAGTGGTTGTCCGGTTTCAACTGGTTTTTCTTTTGGCCTGCTGTGGAGAAAATATGAGAAGAATGATTTTTAAAATGAAATATTTCATCTTTTATTCACAATTTTTTCATTTATTTTAACGTATTGCAAGGTTGACCTTGCAAAACAACAGAATAAACATTGAATGTTTTCATACGCAATCTTAAAAGGTAAATCGGTTTTTATTTTATTAAAATCAATTCCTGAAATTTTTTAAAGTTTATTAATCATGTTAGAGAAATTTATAAAAAAAAAAAAGATAATTTTGTTTAAGTGAAAGTATGCTTCGTCATCTTCATATGAGCCCCCTTCCCATTTTTTTTCTTTTCTAAAATATAGTAAAGAATTTCTCATCTTCTATTCCCGGAAACCGGCCACCGTTTGAAGGATAATGAAAATTATCTTAAATTAATTTATATATAAATATAATCTTGTTTTACAAATACAAAGCTAGAATTTGTTCTCTTACAACGAAAGAGGAATAAATACACTGTACTATAATGTCTTAATCTAAGTATAAATCCATCGAATGTGCGTTTTGAAAAAAAATATTGTTGATATTTTTCATAAAACAAAATAATAATTGGTGCTAAATTAATACGGGGATTGCTTATTAATTCAGGTACAATTAAGTTCCTTTATAGCCATATTTCAAGCTGTTTTTTAAAATCATATTTATAAGATAATTATATTGGACAGATTGGATATCCTTAAGTTAATTAATTTTAGTTATATCAAAATTAAATTAAATATTTTCATGGAATGAAGAAGAAAAAACCTTACTATTTTCATCTGCGGTTCCACTGCGTGTAATTTTCCCGACACCTGTGAATTTCCGCCGTCTCAGAACTTAATCATTACGTCACTGTGTACACCTGTAATGGCGGCGAAGTGTTAGTTATGTAATTAACATGCACATTAACGATAATATTGCTAGTTAACAGTTGTTAATATGCTTAAGATATCAATCGGCAAAAAATTAAACGATTACAAAACTCAACTACGGAATGTGGCATTCTAAATTTATTAATTAACATGTCACATGTACGTTGTGGATAGTAAAAACAATATCCTCTGAAGTTTACATCAAAAACTGTTATCAATTTAAATTCAAACCCAATAGAAAAATATCTTTTTGAGGAACACTTTTCAGTATAAATAATAAATAATGAAAAATGTTGTTAAACACCCAATTTTACGTTGACGCCCCCAAAATCTACCTGACTCAAGATCAATAATTTACCGCTTGTCAATCATTAAAAAACAATAGTTTCTGATTTGATTGACAGGCCAGGAACTGTAAAAATTTATTTTTCTTTCTTTAAATAAAAACTTTTTCATTCTTTAAAAAATGTTGCTAAAGACAATATCTCTCTCACATGTATATATTTTCTTTATTGAACTTTTAAGGTAAAATGCTTTTCTTGATATTCATATTTATATACTAAGTAGCAATTATTTTGAAACTTTCAAAATCAGAATTTTGTATTTGAACCAGTTTTTACAGATTTTTTTTAGAAGTTGTTTACATTAAAATGTACGATTTTTTTGTTTGTTTATTTATGTCTTACAACTCGGCATATTGAGTGATATATATCAGCGTTTTAGGAATGGGGCTTATTTTATCCTATGTAATATATGTTATATTATGCGAAGCGGTTTATTTAAAAAGCGTAAACTGCCCAAAGCTATATTATGTCCTAGGTTAAAATAAACTTAATTCCTTATAATTTAATTTCAATGTAGACAATAAAAGAATCCCCCCCCCCCAAATGACTTCAAATTGAGCATATTTTAAAATTAACGTCAAGTGGAATAATACGTTTTTGATGTAACTCATTGTGACGCAGACTACCTATGTTATACAATATTAAATAAATCTTTTATCAAATCAAATGGCGTGTTACAACTAAAATTAAATTGATGGAAAATAAAAGCCCCAAGGTATGTTATATCGTATAACATAGGTTCAAACAAGCTTCATTCCTTAATTAATATAACGTGGAATACCATAATGAACTAATACATGCTTACTTTCCAGATTAACGTTGTACATTACAAATGGATATCTCTTCTTATTTTTTAAACTTTAAAGTTGAAACTTTACATAAAGCTAGTATACTTGTATTGTTTACAATTCACAATGAAAACTATATCCCCCCTTTCCAATATTCAGGAGTTATTCAAATGACCACGTTGGTATGCCAGGGCATCAAAGATTATAGTTCGAAACAGGGATAATTCGCATAACGGGTGAAGCCTGTTATGTGTAAATTATCGCACGTTTCTAACTGCCTTTGATGTCCCTGGAATACCCAACAAACTATAGACAGTGAGTTCTTATATATTTATATCCTATTCCAATTAAATAGTCCCCGCCTATGTGCACTGACGTCAGACAAAAAGACATGCAACAGGAATGACATGCATATCAGATATCAGAATTTTCACATCAGGTTTAATTATTAGGAAATCAACTCATTTTAAAACTCTCTTCGAGATATCGCAGAGAAAACAAATAGGAATGTAAATATTTTACTTTACATATCAAAACGGCTGTGTTACAACGCACTTTGAAAAATTACGCACTTTGAAAAAATTTTTCAAAGTGTGTTAAATTTGGGACCAAATTAACGCACTTTGAAAAAATAAAATTTCTTTTCAAAGTGCGTTAATATCGACCATATTAACGCACTTTGAAAAAATATGTATGGCTTGGTCTATATTCTTGCAAATCTTAGGTATGATAAATATTTAATTGAACCTATTTGATAACTCTTCGGTGATGAGGTCACTTCAGAATGTGAAAGTGAGCGATTTTGATTTTTCCATACCTTGAAAATTCTCTCTCTCTTAAATGTTTTACTGTACTTTTTTTCCTAGTTTACATGCATGATCTGTAAACTAAAATGAATTGAAAGTTTTCAACGTTATAATACATACATGTAGTTATGTAAATACATACATTTGGGTGTAGCATAGGCATCGGTACCGGGGGGTGGGGGGGGGGGGGGTAGGCACACAAATGTTTTTCAAATATATACATAATATAGGCATTGAAAATTGAGGCTTATCTAAGGGAGGGGGGGGGGGGAGTGTCCACTTTCAATTTGCTACCGACGGCTATGTATAAGAAAAAAGAGTTGGCTAAGACACCTTCTACTAGTCTTCTCCTTGTTTTCAATGAAGTGAAATCAATACATGTAAATTAAAAAGTTTTTCAAAAGATATAATTATTACAAATTGTTTCTCCATTTGCTAAATTCTAAGTCTAGAATTTTTTGTTTTATACACATTTTTTTCAAAGTGCGTTAAATGTCCATATGGTAAAAAGTGTCTACGTACACTCTTAACGCACTTTGAAATTTTTTTTCAAAGTGCGTTGAGTGTGTCCAAAATTTAATGCACTTTGAAAAAAATTTTCAAAGTGCGTTGATTCTGTCCCAATTTCAACGCACTATGAAAAAATTTTTCAAAGTGCGTAATTTTTTCAAAGTGCGTTGCCACAAGGCTGTTACGACATCTCGTACATGTAGTACATGTAACCAATTGAGTTTTGAAAGGCGCCAAATTTATAACATTTAGCTCTACTGAATATTATCTCCATCCCCATCAATAAACACAACTGCTGACCTTTTTGAGTTGGGTGCCCCCAATTGAAAATATATTGCTGTGCCCCTCCACACTGAAATTGCTTCCTACAGGCCTGCAATTGAAATTAAAATTTATAAAGAGAAAAAAATGGAGAATGTAACTCTGGTGTTTGATACTGCGCCAGTTCAATTTTTAGCGATGGCCAGGGGCAGTTACAATGTATACTCGGCGACATCAAGCTTATAAATACATTTACTCTTCTTCGTTTAAAACGACATAATAAGGAAGGAAGTGGGCCGACGATTATAAGAGATTATTTGTGAAAAAGAATTAAAAAAATTTGAATTAACATTTAAAGAATATTAGATAATTTCATTTTTTTCTATTGTTACATTAATTCGTTTTGTCGATTTTATAAGGATTGAAAATCTTGAAAAATTGTTAAGTCGTACGAAAAGTAAATCAATAGAAAAAAAATTCCTTGCCGTAAACAACGTTTCCAATGATTTTTAAAAATTACATGCTCAGTAACATAGTTTATTCCGGTGTTTATAATAATAATAATAAAAATAATAATACTTTATTTAAATAAGGTATCCCAATTAATACAAAGTACTATTCTTCCCCGGGGCCTTCTTTTATTCAAACAATATACATACAATCGAACATATAAACACTGCACATGAAAAATGATAAGCTCAATATGTAACTTAATAATCATATCGATGTTTTGTACAAATTAATGGTTTATGGTTTGTAATCGCACCATTCTTCCACATAAATAGTTTAGTTTTCTTAATGCTTTCTCTCACATTTCATAAAAAATCCTAAACGTCCTTTATCTCATTTCAAATCAAAATTTACCTTCATGATTAAAGTTTTAAAAAATGCATACCATATCATATTTTAACGCGTCACAACATGCCCCCTTTGTTCTTTTAATCAATGATTGAAATTCTATTATAAAATAATGCCTAAATAAACATACAGCTGTATTTTAAAACTTGTTTCAAATTTTAGCTTCGTTGGGTGCACCATTTCAACATTGGACTATTTATATATAAATGCAGAAAATTATTTTATTCTTCTAACTCAAAATAAAGTTACGGAAGTAAATAAGTCATTTGAATTAGCTCTTATATGAAGAAAATCATCTCTTGAGTTCTTTTCTGATTGGTTGTGTATGAAGAAATGAGGGGTGCTATTTGGCCGGTGTTTTTTTTTTTTTTTTTAAATTCCAGGTTGTATGAATACGTAATTATAAGATATATATACACATTAATTTTATGATTGAAAGACAAAAAGAATAGAACTGAGTATATGTGCTTTTAATAGCAAATGCAAAACGATACAATAAGAAACATACTTCGGGCGACCAATTTAAGTTTGCGTGATGAACAATCTGGAAAAAAAAAGAAATTAACAAAGTCAATGTAAGCAGTTTCTGGTTGCTATTTAAATGTAGTCTGATTTTCCTATGAAAGTAAACTGTAACTCTCGGCAAAGATAACGTCTTATCATTATAGAACATTTTGCGATTGTATTGTAAATTTCACGTTTATTTTCCAAATAAAGACACAATTTATAAATATGCTTATGGTAGAGCACTTTCATTTGATCTTTTGAGGAAAAGAAAGTCGCCTTTTTGTGAAACCTGGAAGATTGCTGACAATATAGACTCACTGTGACTAGGAACAGAAGAACTCTCATTTTATCCAGTAGTGGTGTTGCTGTTGTTCTGGCTCCAAAGCCAGTATAAAAGAGCAGCTCCCACTAAAAGCAAAACAAATTGTATACTTGGAGGAAAAATCAACAGAAAATTGATTTGTTAGAGCTCTTCTCTAAATATGTCATTCATTTAAATATTATAGTATTTTTTAAATCAATATATATCATTGCAATTTTATTTTTCTTCAATCCGCGTTTTATACTTACAGATAGCAGCAAGAATGCCGTTCTGGTTTTGATTTCTTTGTTGATAGATGCTTGTCCCTAAGTTAAGGGGGAGAGGGTTAGGTAAAGATGGGAGAGTGGCAGCTCCTCCTCCTCCTACACCACCACCCACAGGGAATGGGTAGGGGATGGGGTTAGGGTAACTATAGGGAATGTAGAGCGCTCCACCGCTTCCACCTTTTCCCCCTGAGCCATATCCGCTGTACCCCCCACCGCCACCACTGCCATATCCGCTATATCCACCATATCCGCTATATCCGTATCCACTCATGGCGGGGTACATTCCTCCCCCGTATCCTCCCCCATATCCTCCCCCGTATCCCCCGCCATATCCCCCGCCATAACTATCGGCAGTCACACAAGAAAACACTGTCACCACGGCGATCGCTACCAGGATCCGCATCTGGACGAAAATAATGTTAACTTTTCACCACGGTACACTCAGATAGCATTCAAAAATGTGAAGGAAAATTATAAATTTTTTAAACAAATATTAATTTCTTTAAAAAAGACAAGGTTTACAAAATAAGAATTGTTTAAAGACGACAGCTCTTGAATTTGAAAGGCAACTGAGACCCTTTTCATTCACTTTGGGATTAAATGTATTTTTTGATAATTAAACTGAAATTTATGTTTTGCTTTACAGAATCAGACAAATTAACGAAGCTGGGGAATTATATTTTTTTTAGAAAAATTCAGACAATTATTCTTCCGAAATTCCTATCACAGGGAAATGAAAACATCACAGACTTGTACCTTGCTGTTATGATCCACGGACACCACCAAATGGATAGATCGTTTATACGACCAAAATCTTAAATACCGGGACCTGATTCAACCTTACACAAGACAAAAACAGCCCCGTATCAGGTGTTCGCGAACTGTGGGGTGATTTTGATAGATATACTGGTTCTATGATCGTGATTTTGTTTGACTTTGTAACGCAAGATGATGGATGGATTCAGTGACACAACTGCGCAACGGAACCAAGGCGCAAAGGAACAGCCGCAGTTCCGTAATTGTGTGAATGGATAAAAATTTCTATACATATAATTAAAAGGTAGAGAACATTTTGAAGAAAAAAAAAAGTAAAAACGTGTTCATTCATTTTATACGGTATTTTTACTGATTGGAATTTTTATCAGAATGAGATATATATTTTACATGAAAATAAATTTCATCAATTTTCAAAAACTTTCACCTTAATTAACTTTTCTTTCTTTATTACATGTAATCCAATATATTCATTACATGATTGTTTACTTTTAACTTTTTGAGTCGAGTACATATTCAAAACTGGGGTTCATAATGCAGTGTATTTGGTGAAGGAAACAATACCTCGATAATGTTTGAGTTAAAAGCTAAAATTAACTAAAATTTTCTAAATGTTAGTTCGATCATTATTTTCTTTTCTGAAATTTTAAAACATTTGCGATTTTTGAAATGCAATAATCTTTATACACAAAAACGCGTTTGAGGCTTTTGCTTCCTCTAAAGTTATATTTTTGTGATAATTTAATTACATTTTTTTTTTTAATTTCGTTTTCGATGTTATTTTTCATCATAAAAAGAACTACTTGTGTAAGAGAAAAATGTATTTTTAATTTTTAAAACTTCGAATTCAATGAAAGATGTGTTTCTAGAGTTAATTTTTACTATTATATTCACTTTAATCTAGATTTAAAGTTTTTAAAAATTTCATTTCAAGCATTGTTGGGAAAAAGTTTTGTTCTTATCTGTGAAATTTTGGATCAAGCTACATTTTTTTGTATAGCATTTTGATTTTAAAAATAAAGAAAGTCATCTGTAAAGGAAACAGTATGAAGTAATACCATTTAAAATGTTTGAATTTTCACAGTATAGTTATCTTCTGATTTGATTATAAAAATTTTTCTTCATTTTTCTCCAGCTTATGGAGATGTGAACAACGATTTATTCATATGTGGATTTCATGTATTTGTTACACAAAATTGCGAAAAATGTATAACTGTTCATCAGTAAATCGCCGAGAACACTTATTCCAAATTCCACATGTAAAGGTGAAACGTGTACCTGGCTTTCGCTCTGGCGAGATCTCGCGAGATTACGTATATGATCAATCACGGAGTGAGATAACCTCTTATACACAACAGGAAAGGGTCACTAAGCCAATCAAACCACAGTGTCCATCATCAAAAAGATGCTCTGGGGTAGGGAAGGGGGTTCAATGTAAAATAAAACCAAAAATAAATAATGATAAGGAGACATTCATATTTATTTATTTATGCCTCTTTCTTTCAGGGAATAGCTAAAATCCTAATATATTTCCAATGCCTTGCCAGAATATCTATACTTTGAATATAATAAACATGTCAAATTTTTCCAAATACATCAGAACCCCGTCGGGTTCCCCATCGGGTATAATAATGGTAGCTAGGTATAAAATAAATTGGATGTTTTGAGTTTTGGGCTCCACTCTGGACAAGGTAGCAGGGAACAGAAGTCCCCAGGGTTGTGAGTGATATTATAATCTCTAGCATTCTCAATAGGTTTTTAATTAATTATCAAGGTGCTTCTTTATTCATTTTGAAAGTGAAATGGATTAAAATATTTTTCAAATGAAGGACAGACTGCAATTAATTTTTGATAACAGATCGTGCAAAATGCCTCTTACTTTTAATCTTTAATTGTATATAAAGACTTTAGTGGATTCAATAGATTAAAACCGGCTGAATTTAAAATGAAAAAAAGCCTTTTCATTTTCGTTTTGATTCATTCATTCCTTAATTTGAAACCAACAAATTTAAGTATTCTTAATTTAGTTTCAAGAAAAAAAAGTGAAACTGTTAAATGTTCCCTTTAGAGACAAAATGAAGGCCATCTTGACGACTCTGTTGGTATCGTTGTGTGTTGGCGCTAGCCTGGCAACCAGCTACGGCGGGGGCGGTGGCGGGGGTGGGTATTACGGGGGATATGGAGGTTATAGTGGGTACGGAGGATATGGTGGATACGGAGGGTACGGCGGGGGATACGGCGGGGGATATAGTGGTGGAAAGGGTTACGGAAAAGGTACAGTCGTGTTCATCAGTATATAAACGAATTTTATTTTCTGTAAATGAGTCATTGTAAAGAACCTTTTATACCTAAATTAAAAAAAATAATTGAATCATTTTCCTTTGTTAAGGGAAAGGTGGAGGTAGCTACTCTACCATTATTTATTACCCGGTGGCTCAGGACTACTACGTGCCGGTGCCCGTTGACGGAGGAATGGGAGGATATGGTGGATATGGGGGAGGATATGGATATGGCGGAGGATATGGATATGGCGGAGGATTAGGAGGAGGATTGGGAGGAGGATTAGGAGGAGGTTTGGGATTACCCAATGGCGGTCTTGGACTGGCCCTGGGCTCCGTCTATAACCAAAACCAAGGTTTCCTCGGTGGGGGTGGATTTGGGGGTGGCTTCGGGGGTGGAAGCCCGCTCTTAGGAGGTGTGTTGAATGTGGACCCGTGCATTTAAATGACTATTAAAAGTCTTAATAAAATTTTGAATTTATAAAAAAATAAAATATGATGAGAGCAATTCAGTAAATCTTTGAAAGCAATTTGTATACATATTTGTTAACAGATGTGCATTTATATGATATTGAATTGAATCCGGGTTATGATACTGCTCTCTCTTTGACATTCATTTATACCATATAGTACTTTTATTTAAGGTATCGGAGCCCTCGCCGCTGCTTCGAATCCTTTACTCGGAATAGGTTTGGCTGCCGCCGGTGGATTCCCGGGTCTCGGCTTCCTTGGAGCCTTGACTGGTTGATTATTCAGAGCTGGTGCGTCCTACCAGAGCTACTTTTTTTCAGGGGCAAGTTAACAATTCTAAATGCAAATTTTGTTTTGGTTAAATTCTTAAACTGTAAAGTAAGAAGAATAAATTCTCAGATTAGTATTTAAAACGGAGATTCTCAAAGAATTGTCAGTAATTGCTATTAAACTTAATTTGTTTTACAGATTGTCTGCATCACGCATCGCATACTATAGTTTACGAAGTTTTGTCACCGCCCAAATTTGTTCATATTTGTATACATATTTATGATGCATTAAATGAATGTATCCTTTTAATTGTTTACATTTTTTGTTCTTTAGATTCGAAATACTAGTATCCCATTGACGCTAATTGCACCTGTAGTGTATCAATGCTATTACCGGTACATAAAATTAGCCACTAAACGCCGGTGTCTTCTACCTATGTATTCTCACTTTTTCAAAATAGCAATTCCCTCTATTCCCACTTGCAAATTACAAAAGATCTGAAATTTAATTTGTTGTTACATCTATTCCCACATGAAGTCTTATCTTTTCCTACCTGATTTTCAAAAAGTGGGAATAGGTGGAATTAGCTGCAGATGTACAGATGTAAACTACAAAAGTAATTGGTAGAGGAGTAAGGACTTTATTGAAATCTAGCTTTTTTGCAATTGAGGTCAGGTGACTCCGTCTATTAGTTTACTGTCAGTCGAAGTCTCAAAACGGAAGCCGTAGGGAAAACACATGAATTAAATCTACGCTTTATGAAAGTGCAGAAAATGTTTTGATTGAAATACAAACATTCTGCATCAAACTAGCTGAAGAAAAATATATGAACTTTTTTTACTCAAATTAATGAAGCATTTTGAAAAGGAGTATCTATGATAAGAGCCAATTTTGGCCCCCTAAATATCAACATTTTAGAATGACATTCAGATATGTTTAATTGATATTTATTTTGTAGAAGAGATTATATTAGAAATATTTCCAATATATTTTTCACATTTATATGCACTCACTAGCTGTAAATGACATGAGAAATAATGCTATTTGCCATCTAACAAAAAAGCCAAAAATATGCCTTTTTCTTGATGTTTTTTCTTATGGGAAACATAGAGCGCATAGTAGAACATACATAATTTTTCTGTCACAGTAATTAGTATTGAACAGATACATCTTTGGTAAAAATATAAAGCTTGTTCTAGGCTGCGCTCTATATTTTCTGGAAGAAAAACTGCTTGAAAATAAGTAGTTTTATACAAAATATGCTAAAATGGCGGGAAAAAGTGATTTTTATGATGTCATATTTCTAAAATAACGGCATTTTGATCAAAATGAAAATGACCAATAAAGATCGCATATATAGCTGTACAAATTAAAGCTATATAAAAAGTAAAATTAAGATATTCATTTTAAGGGGCCAATTGAGACACTAAACATATATGGCTCTTTTAAACTGAAAATATTAATTGTAAATCACACTAGTAAACAAAGAATAGCATTACGACTGCGTACGCATCATCCATTTTTTACTTCCGGAAAAATATTAATTCGGACCTGGTAAAACTTGGACAATTTAAAAAGGTTTCTAGACTTAGCAGTTATTAAATTTTCTACTTCATTTTCTTCTAGTATATATTTTTAGTACACATGAATTCACCCCGATTTTTTTTGTAGAATAAATATCAGAAAAAAATTATGGTAACCGTAGTTTAGCAAAGAAACTCAATTTTATTCTTTCGTTATACTAAACGCAGGGGTGTGAAAACAGAATTAATTTCAATGAATTAACTTAAGTCATAAAGATCAGTGGTAAAGGATATGCATTAGAAAAGTGTTGATAAATAATTATATAATGTGATTAGAAATTAACATCCAAAAGACCATTTATATCCTGCTCTCTATGAATATTCGAGGTAAATAGAGAAAGGAATCTATCACTTTTAGCTCACCTGAGGTGAAATAAGTGAGCTTTTCTGATCGAAAAGTGTCCACAACAGTGGGTGTAATGGCAAAGGGGCATTTGAGTAAAACACATTGAAGACTTGAAATAGTTGAATGACCTGACAACCCTTGGAATGGACTAGCCTAAGGGTATATAAGGCAAAACTTTGGGTACGTCAAGCATTCAGAGGGTAGCTGAGGATGGATGTAGAATCGGCAATAAAGAAGTTACGATATTCCATCCCATTAGCAAAAGATTCAGTGACATTGAATACTTAACAGATGGTAGGTGTTGAACACTCAGTATATTTAAACATAATTCCCATTTATTACTAATAGCATGTAAGGGTGGGATGTGTCCAAATTTATTAACTTAAATTTTGGAAAGAGCTATCCCCCTCTGTTTTTAATTAATAAAAAAAATTAATAATTATTATTAAAAAAATTATATATCTGGTGAAAAATGTCGTTTTCAATTGTCATTCTACTTCTAATGTGTTTAGTGCACTTTTCATATACAATTATTGCTGCTTTGTGAGGTCAATACAATGATTTAGCCATCTGAGGAGTACACTATTCACCAAGCCCGAAAAGCCCGAAGGGCGAGGTGAATATTGTACTTCGAAGATGGCTAAATCATTGTATTGACCTCAAAAAGCAGCAATAATTGTTTTATTATATGATTCACTGATAAAATGATACAGCTCATTACTTGTTTGCATTTAATTAAGTCCTAGTCAAATACAAGAGAAAAGCAGAATCAGAATGTAAATAAACCTTAGCAGTCGTATCAGTTTTTTTTATCAATTTTTGTTGCCATGAAAAAATATAATGTCAGGAAAGAAAGGGGTATTATCACGGAGAACTGACTGCCAAAAAGTAAAAATTGTTGTTCAGTAAAAGTTTTGGAGGGGGTTTCCTGCATTCCCCCTTACCACACTCACTCGAAAATATATATTCGATTATGTATTGTTCACATGAAAAAAGTCATAGTCGTTTAAATAGCTTTCCAAAACCATTTGTATCATTTTGGAAGTTCCAGATCTATTTTTAGATCAATGTAGAGGAAAGAAATCCTTGTATTCACCTGGAACGTCACGTGCAGGTCAATACAACGTAGTATTTTTCCAACATAGTTGCATCTCAGCCAATCAGTGAGATGGAAATTATTCAATCATATAATAAAATAAAGTATTTATTGATATAATATTAATTATTTGAATTTTATTTTTTTAAAAATTCACTTGAATAAATAGCACAAACACACCGAATACTGAATTACTCGCGAAATTTTTGTGGCCAAACCCAGATCTATTTGTTTAGATTGGTCCCAAAAACGCGTTGCCATCCAACTGGTGTTGTGTTTTACTTCAGGGTGGATTTTTTTCCGGATTTTTTACGATTAAAACTTCAGACTCCTCTGATTCAAATTTGTTTACATTTTTGGCGGGACCACGATGATCAATCAAGAGTTTACACACGAATAGACAGGAGGAAAATTTTTGAAATTTCTTCTGTTTCAGAGCAGCAGTCATGATTAGTAATTTTGATGTAGAAGGATTCTGAGGTAGTGTAAGCTTAGGCTTGCCAACCCCTTAAAACTTTTCAATACTGAACTGATTTCTGCTTATTCCTAGCCAGTTTTACATAGATATGGCTAATTATTACCGACTTGGCGTTAAACAATAATAATCAATCATCCTAGCCAGTTTGCCCGGGTGAGCGATGTTGCCCATGCGCCTCTTGTCAGATCAATGACATTGTTAAAACCATTGCACCAGCCAGTCGAAACTTTGATTTTTAGTAATAAATCCTGTTTAAATCCCTGCTCATTTGTTTCAATTTGGTATGATTAAGCTTCAAGTTGAAAAACAGACACGGCAAAAAGCATTTCAATTTATTCTTTAATTCGTAATTTATGATTATAACAGCGACGGCAGTGAAAGGGGGCTAGTGAATAAAAAACAATGCAATTTACACATGGAACATGCAGACATTACAAAGGAAGTCACGTGAGATCAGTGTTTGACATCCAACCAATCATTGATACTGTAGTATGCATTAATTTTGAACTGAAAAGAGCAGCCATATTTAAAAAACAGAAAAGATCACGAGACGTACGTCACGTGGCACAGATGCATTTTGGGTCCCTGTTTTCCCTTATCCAGCCAGTCATACAATTGCTATGTTAAACGCTAGTGATATAAAACATGAGAGTATAGAGTTCCATGATACATTAATACTACTAAATAATGTACTGTGGATTTCGTGTCGATTACAAATGAACGTAACCTATATAATGGTTAATCACAGTTTCGCTGTAAATGATAAACCGAGTTTACCATCAGTGTTCGCTATTGACTAATTTAGTTACATCGTCCGAAAGGCTATACCCAATACAATATCGAGACCAATTAACATACAATGTATCTAAAATGAAACATAATAAAGCAGTCCTCAATAAATATTGTGTTCAAATGAACATAAAATGATAAACCAATAATAAATGACAAAATGAGCTAGGGTGTGGTGAATTTAAGAGAAGCACACTGGTCCAACTTCAAAGCCAATTTCTTGGTTAGGTTGTCCATAGTCCTTTGGTATAAAGTCAATTATTGGTAAACTTTCAATTTTCTTTGTTGATATTTCAAATATAGCTTTTCCATCTCCACTTCTTGTCTGAAAATGACATAATATTGTATTTCAAAATGTATTCAAACTATTAACTGCACGATAATTTTCAACAATTTTTGGGAACCCTAAATGTTGGTCTTCAAAGTTCAATAATTAAAACAACACTCTCAAGGACAATATGTAACTTTCTCTGAAACATTATTTTGCGCAATCTCCCGCAGCATGCATGTATGCAACTGACAAATAACTAGATGTAAACTTACCTTGCAGCCATCGATTACATTTGCAAAGTTTTGAGTCAAGTATTCTGTTCGATCAGCGCCCTCTAGGATAATGGCGCTCTTTTTATCTTTGTACACGTCATCGTACCAGGCCACGGCGTTTTTACAGTAGTACGTGAATGTCTGGGTGGCGTGTTCACTGAACAAGCGCAGAAGGTTCAGCTGTTTTTCATCCGGGTACTCAATCATGAATCCAGATTTAAGCCCGCTAAACGATTGTCCAGACTCTTCCTTCTCTCTTGATTGCAATGGAGACTAAAAACAGGAATTCACAATAGTAACTTCACAAGTTAGACAAATACTCACAAAGGTAACTTCTTAACTGAATATCCCTGTGTAAGTTTAAGTTCAGAAATAACTGTGAACATTTAAACATTCCAATACTTTTGGGGGCATTTTTTAGTTTAATATTACAGTGTAAATTCTCATTTTAGTCTAAACGATAAAAATGGAGATGAGGAATGCTAAACTCCACCTGTTTGGTTAGTTCGGTTGGATAGATGCAGGTACTTCCGGCGGTCATGTTACACCAAACCTTGATGGCATCACCAGACGCTCCTAGAGTAGGATCTACCCAATACCAACCTGTGGAAAGAAAGTTTTAGCAAGTGCTTTATCGGACAAAAAAAGTAAGTCTGCAAAATCGAATCAATTTTAGCAGATTTTTTTTCCACAGCAATCTCAAGATCAAACTTTTGACATTATTTTTACTTCATTCTTATTTTTACTTCATATAATATATGAAGCTTGAAACAAGAGTTAAGACAGACCGTCTTTAGAGTCTGGATTTCCTAGTTTGATATCACTACAGGTACTGGCAGGGTTGCCCTCTTTCCCTGTTGGATGTTGAATCTTGGAAATCTCATCATTTAACTTTTGTATGTGCCCAAACATTTTGCCGACCAGAAGAGTGACGCCTTCCTTCAGTTCATATTTCTTGCTTTCCATTTCCTTCACCAATTCATTGACATCGAATTCGAAAGCATTCTCATGTTGATTGACGGCACGTTTTCGTCTGCGTACTTTTGGCGCCAAAGATGAGGAGAAGAAATTGGATGGGAAGGCCTGAGATGCCCCGGGGGCACCAGGGGGTCCAGTAGGGCCCTAATGTTGATAAATTAAAGAGGTAATTAGTGCAAACATTCGAAAACAACATTACAAGTCTACAAATATAACACTGAAAAAAGAAAACAATATGCAATTGAAAATTTTTTCATGATTTTATGACAACACCTACCGGTAGACCAGGGTCGCCTTTTGGTCCTGTGTCTCCCTGAAATGGATAAGAACAATCTAATTTTTAGTTTCTTATAAAGCATCATCTCAAAGTCTACTGGTAATTAACATTATTTGAATATTTATATCTCAGCTAAAAATGCATTTTGACTACTTAAGATACAGGTATTAATAAAATTTGATTGATATAGATAAAGGCCATATTTTTTACTATATAAGTCAGAGTAACTTTATTTTTGTCAAAAAAAGTTTACCCGCTCTCCCTTGAGTCCTGGTGGTCCAGGTGGCCCCTATAAATAGAAAAGATTTGCTTACTTCATGCATAATTATTTTTTCAGAAATAAAACGCAAATTACATTTTTCTTCTGGACTTACTGGGAATCCTGGAGTTCCTTCCGGTCCTGGGAAACCTGGAGGACCTTCCGGTCCCTACAACCATTAAAAGGTAAGGTCAATGTCATTGAGAAGTATACGAGTTTTAGTTAAAATTTTCAGTAAGTATTAAGCACCCCTCTTCTTTTTTCCCCTCATATTTGATAATCATTAGAAAAATAATATAGAGTTCAATTTGCCCATTTAAAAATGTGGATATTCTTGCTTTTTTGAGCATTTTTTTCCAACTTATTTTAAAAGTACAAGTGAATTTTCGTACATGAGCCTTTTTTTCACAAAATTCTTTTTTCTGCCGATTTTCGAATGTTGAAATACAGAATGTGCAATCTCAGATTTCAGAAACTATTACCCGGTATACAACTATTAATGTAGTGTTTTTGTAAATTATATACATAACTTGATGGATCATTCAATAGCAGTTGTTGTAAAATTAAACACTGACCTCCGGACCCCTATCACCCTTGATTCCAGGGGGCCCGGGCTCTCCCGGCTCTCCCTTAGGTCCGACGTCACCAATAACTCCCGAGGGCCCCACACGACCCATGTGTCCCTTCTCTCCCTTATCCCCCATTTCTCCCTTGGCACCCGGTGGTCCAGGTGGTCCCTGTTACAAAAGACAAAACACCCAGTAATAAATATCTACTGGGGGTTTTTAGTACACGTTATTCCGACTGTTTGCCTGTAGACATATTTACCAGTAGTCCTTGTTCTCCCGGTATTCCAGGGGCCCCTACAGCACCGGCTTCTCCCTGCAAAATGAAATTCGCTTTTTAAAATAATAATATGAGCTGCAACTTTGATGTCGGATTTTTTTGTTGCAAAATTGTGAATAACTATTTCAATGACAGAAAAAATAACGTTAATAAACTTCTGTTGTTCATATTTGCGATTAAAGAACTATTTATAAGCTTTGATTGAATCAAAATTACATTATGTCATCCTGTACAATAATGATTTCTTATATAAAACTGTATATTGGATTGTATATAGAAGCCTTTCTTCTGCTTTACTCACGTCTAATTGATCATAAAGGTTTAAGTTACATACAAATTTATCATAACACCACATTTTAACAGCAAAATAAAATTTTCAAAAATGCAGCTCAAATTGCTGAGAGGGTATATATGCATAACTTTCCAAAAGCTATAATAATCACATATTGATAAATGAAGTAAAAATTGAGCTATAGGAAAATTTATCACATCAAAATTAAACCACAATGATATGTTATATATTGGTATAATTAGGCAAAATTATTAAATTTCACGAATTGTGGTTTTTGCTGTATATAACCTTAAGAAATACTATTATACGCGAGAAATAAAGTTTCGCGAGCACACCGTCTCGCGTAATTACGCGAAAATAAAGTTCTCACGAATAAAAAGTGATTTACAGTATACAGAGTCATAAAAGAAATAAATGCAATGTAGTAATACATACGACTGGTCCGGGAGAACCTGGTGGTCCCGGGGGGCCTGGGGGTCCGCGGTTGCCCTAAAATTTTAATCACAAATGTTATTATTCTGCTTCTATATATTTCAACATCATTTTTCATGGTGTTTTGAACTATATAGATGTTAAACATACCGGCGATCCGGGTAAACCACGTCCTCCCATTGGACCCTGCAGTCCACGGTCTCCCTTCTCGCCTATCGGCCCTGGTTCACCCTGGGGCCCCGGGCTTCCACTTTCACCCTGATAAAAATGTTCCAATTAAATATACGCTAACAATTTATAATGGGAAATACATAAATAGAGTTAAAATAGTCAAAAATTACTTTTATGTAAAGAATGTGACATACCTGTTTACCGGGCTGTCCCGGAAGTCCTGACTCTCCCGGAGAACCTGGCGGACCCTGCAAAAAGATTATATGTTAAATGATTATAAAAAGTTACACTAAAAATACAATTTTTGTCTATTAATAAGCAAGTCTAAAGCACTGAGAAGTTAAATTAGAGGAATACATGAGGTAATCGGTGCCCTTTATTTTAGTACGTTTTTATATTCCACCGATCCGATAAAGTGATTAAAATCTCACCACTGGTCCTGCAACTCCTTGTTCTCCTTCCGGTCCGTCACGTCCCGCCTCACCCTAAGAATGTATTTTGATTGTCACAATCACAGTGAAATAAAATTGTCATAATTATATTCTCATTTAAAAAGCTGTGTCAGTACCAAAATAAATAGATCTAAATCCATCAGAAAATACATTCTTACCTTCAAACCTGGTGATCCACGTGGTCCAGGAATACCAGGGGGACCTTGTATTCCCTGAATCAAAAATCAAATAGGAAATGATATGGTAAACGAAGAAAAGACACTATCTTGATACAATAATATTATAAAGTGGTTTTTACCGCATGTCCCTTTTGTCCTGGTATGCCTTGCGCGCCTCTGAGTCCGGAAGGTCCTTGAGGGCCTGGTCTTCCGGTCTCACCTTTAGGTCCTGGCTCTCCAACCGTTCCCTGTCATTACAAGTTATTTACTTAAATCGAAATCTTTTACATCAATACAACAAGTTATAGATAGACAATATTTTAAATAAACGTATATAACAAAATTACACAACTGCTGATTTAAATTATTAAAAAACCTTTATCTAAAATATAACCCATAAATATGACCCATATTGAATATACGACATGAAAAAAGAAATTCTCTGTTTGACATACCATAACACCGTCTATCCCTGGTGGACCAGCCGGACCTGGGACACCGTGTTCACCCTTTAAACCCTGTCTTCCTTCGAATCCAGGGGGCCCAGGTAAACCAGTTGGACCCTGTGTGCCCTCTGGTCCCGGCTCTCCCTGGGGACCTGGGGCACCGGGGGGACCCTGAAAACAAGTTTTAATTACATAATTATTCACTAAAATAATTAATGTGAAGAATTAAAATATATAGAGCAGTTTTGAAACCTAACATATTTTCCATATTTGTTTCATTATCCCTTGAAATAAGGATTGCAACTTGAAGAAAAGTAATTATCCTTTAATGAAAGATACTTTGGGCTAAATGTAGATGAATTGACCCATTGTTAATGGAGAAGAAAAAAAAATAAAAAGTGAAACATTTATAAAAAATTTTAAATTTGAGTCTGCTACTACATACGGAAAGTAAACATTCAAGTCTTCAGCTTATGTGAAGAGAACTGAAGAGATATGTGAGCTAATAAAAAAATTTTATGAGGATGTTATACAGTCATGTTGAATCACTCACGTCCATTCCTCTGTCGCCTTGTTCTCCTTTCTCCCCGATAGGTCCCGGAAGTCCCTGAAGACCTTGTAATCCCGGCATGCCCTGTAGACCACGAGGACCGGTGGAACCCTTTGGAACAACACAATTATATTTTACTTAAATATTTATTTTGTTATTCAAATGAAAGTAAATTATAAAACCCTAGATAAAAGTTTAGTATTTTTTCAACATACCTTGAGACCGGGAGGGCCCTGAACGCCTTGGATGCCTGGTTCTCCAGGAGGACCCTTAGAAGAGAAAAATAATATTAATTTTTAATTTATTTTTTCATTTAAAAATTGTTTTGATGTATATATACACCAATATTTAATTAAGAAATACCTTTAATGTTAAACCCCTTGCAACCTTTCAGTTAGAAATTTAAAGGAAAAATCCAATTATTTGGTACTACTTTAATTTTGGTTATAACGCGTCATTTGATTGGATAAGAAATAAATCTATATTGTATAACCTGGGTTGCTTACGTCACATAGCCTTCATCAAAAACGTATCAATTCGCTTGACGTTACATTTAAAATATGAATCATTTGAAAGCATTCAAAAGGGAGAAATTGTCTTGTATTGTATAATCAATGATTGAAAATTAAATTATTAGGTTTATAAAGAGTAAGCTGCCTCATATCTGGATTGGAGTGGTTAACTATTTTTTATAAAGCGCTTATACAGTATAACTTGGGTTGCTATTAAATTTATTCCTTAAAGGCAGAGATTTTAAGCACCGCCTTCAAAAATACCTGGTCTGGGTAGCCCTGTCAATCAAGTGCGTGAAAGTCCATCATTGGATGCTGGAACTTGATTGACACTTACTAACTGGTCCCTGTGTATACCCTGTACACCTTGATTGGGACTCGCGGTGACCTTCTTATTAACTTTTGATCATTTGATGTTTATATCTGAACATGGTATACAGAAACTGTATAATTACTATGGAAATTTTATATTGATAATATATGAATTAAATATACCTTTAGTATTTAGAGTATGATAATAAATATGCATTTTGAAAAAATTAACCTTTTGCACATAAAACTTTTTTTTTCAAATGAAATTTCGATATTAATTTTAATATGCTAAATGTTAAACCTAAAGTGGAGATGTTATTGACAAAGTTCAGAGCAGCACTGTGTGAAGTAATTGAATTTAAAAATAATGTTTCCAATCATAGGTCACCTATACATGTATTTTTCTTTTTTATTCAGTTAAGAATTTACAAGCAATCTTTTTTAGCATGTTTCATGGTGACGAAATCTCATTGAGGTTAGGATAAACCTAGATATTTTTTCTTAGTGAAATGTAGTTAACTCAACTCTCTTTTCATTTTATTAATAGATGGGATCCTGGGGAGGAATGAATTTTAAAAGTCTAATCTGGTTGTTACAGGAGTTTTTTTTTCTAAATCAACACATACACTAACATCTAAAGCAATCTTTATTTTATAGTATGATAAAATAATAAATTTTTAAATGGGTAGGTGTATTTTCAAAGAGTAAAAACTAAATCAAAATAAAATTGAAAAAACTTTTTACTACTAATTTTAAAATTGTCTCAAAATCCCCAACACAGGTAAAGTTTGACATCTGGGTATTTCACTGTGTATTAAATCACTCCCTGTGTTTAGGGATTAGGAGACAGATGGCCACAAATAGACTGCTAGCCCCCTAAGGCATTCACACCTGTACAAAATAAGCCCCTCCCTCACCTGGAATTTACCACCCAGTAAAAAATCTCTGTCTTTAAGAATTCCTCTATTAAAAAAACTGAATAAAGATTTTAAGAGAATCTTACTGGTGGTCCATCCACTCCACGAAGTCCTTGGGGTCCCTGTGGCCCTGGTGGACCCTAATTTTTAAAAGAAATACAATATTTAATATTGAAACATTTTTAAACCAAAAAATTTCTCATTTCATTATTCTTCAAATTCAGAAGGAGATCTTTCTTTTTGTACATACATGCGTTAGATCGTGTTCTTAATCACAGAATGCCTTAACAAACAATGCTTTAAAGCCTTTTCATTGATATATCATATATGATGTCATTATTGATCTTCGAGTAAAAATAATGTAATGAACCGTTTCTCCATGGTCTCCCGGAGGTCCCCTTGCTCCAGGATCTCCAGGTGGCCCCTGTAAAAATGACCGTAAAAATGTAAATATCCGGACTAAAGTCAGATAATTAAAAAATGTCGTATAAACAAGTTTATCCTTTTCTTATTTTTCAATCTAAAATATTTGTTTTGTACGATATGTTATTTTTACAAATTGTATAATTGTATATTCCAACCTTGTCTCCGTCTTCTCCTGGTGGCCCAACTGGTCCCGGGAGTCCAGGGTATCCCTAAAGCGTCAAATGATGTTACTGAACACATCATAAATACACATGTACTTAATGTATTACTGGTTTTAAATAGTTATTAAATATATAGATTAAATCTAGTAAGGCCTTGGAGAGTTATTTTTTCTCTTCCGAGCTCATAATTATTTACCCCTTAATGTATTTTTTGACATAAACAAAGTACAAAATACAACATTCTTAAGTTTTGTCATTTGTTACAGGTTTTGGGAAAAAAGCAGACGAAATATAAGAAAAGATACAAAATACTCGATTTTTTAAGCGAAATAGATTTCTTGCTCAGGTAAGCTATAATACAATACAACACACATTTTGCAGCATAAAAAAATAAGGTAAGTACTGATACAAAGATTCATGCTTAGAAATTATCTATTACTCTTGGTCCTTGGGCTCCATCTGGACCTGGTAAACCTGCGGCACCTTCCACTCCCTAAAAATAAATCACGTGATATCAGACATAATCACAATAAACATGATTAAAATCAAAATAAAGCTGTTTATTTAAAAAACTAATCAAATTAATATTTTATGCTCATTATATATATATATATATATATATATATATATAGAGAGAGAGAGAGAGAGAGAGAGAGAGAGAGAGAGAGAGAGAGAGAGAGAGAGAGAGAGTTTGAATTAAATTGAGATATACCATGTCACCCTTTGTTCCCGGGGGTCCCTCTGCTCCTTGTGGTCCAGGTGGTCCCTAGCGAAAATAACAGATTTGATAATTACAGTAAATTTTCAGAGTAGGAACGTTTTTGATATAACATTGATGATGGCTTATAAGGTATTTTAATCATTTAGCAATACTTACAGGTATTCCTGGTAAGCCTGCCGTTCCAGTTTCACCAAGGGTTCCTTTTTCTCCCTGCCAAATGATAAACGATTAACATTGCTATATTCTAGTTCAGAAATATAAAAGATTAGGCCCTCGTAATATATTAAAATAATCTTTATCCAACACATTTTCCCTAAAATTAATATTAAAAACAAACGAAAAAAACAGTAAACAAGTTAACATAGTGTGACATGTTTGAAACAAATATATTGCGTTGATCCATTCCCTGCAATCAATGAATAGTTTGCAGGTAAGACATACCCTTGGTCCCTGTGGCCCAGGTGATCCAGGCTCGCCTGGAAGACCATCTTTTCCCTACAAAAATCGAAGGATTTTTCAATGTACGAAAATGGTTACTTATTTGATAATGTCACCAATTTGAAAAGATAATATCTTTTGTTTTTTTTTTTTATTTTAAAACTATATTCTTACCGGTGGTCCTGGGTAACCCCTCATTCCCTTGGCCCCTGTGGGTCCTGGTGGGCCCTGGACACCCTCGTTTCCTGGTGGACCAGGTGGGCCCTGAAATAAGTAAAACAAACATATAAAATCTTTTAAATTTATCCGGTGCTACAACAGGCAAATGCTGAATGCTTATATCAAGATCCTGAGTCATTTTTATTTAAAATTTAAAATTGGAATTTCAAAGTAGCGAAACAGACCGGAAGTCCTCTGTCTCCTGCCGCTCCAGACAGTCCAGTGTCACCAGGAGGTCCCTGTATTAATGAAATACATGGTATGTGATATATATAGCATGGCGTCCCAAATAAATGTAAAAATAAAATTCGGGAAAGCATAAACAATTTCTATTATACACGTATCATTATGGAAGAAAATTAACAACATACCGGAATTCCAGGTGCGCCTCTGTCTCCAGGAGATCCAGGTTCACCTTGAGCTCCCTGACAACAGATTTCATTTGATTAGGTAATTATATATTACAAAAATCTAATCATAACTTAATTATTAACGGAATCCATACCTGTGGTCCCATAACTCCCATCTGCCCTGGAGCTCCAGGAATACCCGGTGTACCCTGAAATAACATTTAAATTATGAACTTGTGCCATATTTTATTGGGCTTACCTTTGTAAATCACTACAAACTTTTTATTATAACTGACTTCTAAAAGAATCAAAAAATGATACGATATTTGGGAAAAAGTTTGCCTAATGATTTATGATTACTATTTCTTTAAACTTTACATCCAAATCACGTAGTCGAGTCAAATTTAAGTTAAAATGGCGTTGCTAACCGGAAGTCCTCTCTCTCCTGTTGCACCTGGCATACCGTCTTGTCCTGGAAGACCCTGATCAAAAAAAGATAATGATGAAGATTTCAGAACTTTTACTTTGCTTATAGGTAGAATTTCATAAGGTGGCCTCTCAATAGTTGATAAAAGCTTTAAAAGCGGCTTGGGTACCTAGATTGTTAAAAAGCAAAGGTATTTTGTACAACATTTTTGATGGCTATTGTAAAAAATCAAATGCTCTTTATGTGTTAGGTTTTTCCGATAGAAAGATAGAAAAATATGGAAAAAACTAGAGAAACTACCTATATTTTATCAACAAATGTTATGTTGCTTTAATGAATGTAAACCCTGTTTTGTTTTTTTTAACAAAATGTCTTCCGATAATGTTCTTCAACAGCCGATATGGAACAATTGTAACTTTGTTTATAGGGGAAATACATTATTTTTTAAAAACTGGATAGCCAGTGGGATTTTACATGTTAAAGACTTATTTGACGATGATGGTAATTTAAAATCATTGTTTGATTTTTCCAGTTGTATAAAAACAAGTCAAACTGGTTGTGTGAATTTAAATTCTTACTTCTGTTTTCAAACCTTTATGCTAAAGTATGATTTTTCAAATTGTAAGTTTGTTAACATACGGAACAGAAATTATTTTCTCTTCTACACAGGATATGTTAATATCATAGATCAAAGATGTAACTTTTTCTATGACAATCTTGTACACAGAAAATTTTGTAAACCATGTCATCAAACAATTTTAAGCAAAGAATTCAGTGTGGAACCCTCAGCCAAAATAAAAAATACCTTTGTTTCCCTTAACGCGACCGACCCAATTACATCGCGCCGACTGAAAAGATTTTTTGAATAAGATGATTCAAAATTTTTTTTATTGTCAACCTAGTTTTATAAAATACAATTTCATCAAAATAAGTTTTTTTTTATCAGAACGGGCGACATTGTTCTACTGTGATTTTCAAGCATTTGTTGGGAAAAAAATGGCGCCTAGAATTCTTCACTCTTGAAACAATTTGATAATAAAATTTACCATGACTAATTTAGAGTGTTTCGAAGGTGTGTTGGCGTCTCCATGTGAGTGAATAAATTTTCGAATGGAGACGATAAACAACGAACAAACAAATCTGTCTGTTGAATTTAAGGTACGTAATACATGGAAAGGCCAGCCTCATGAGCAGATAAGGGACCCACCTAGTGAACACATCATTCAATGTCACTGCATTTTATTTAATTTGAGTTTTGATCCAATTACCAATTCATGTATGTTCCTATATTTATGCCTTTATGGAATCATAGTTGTTGTTGTAAATATGTCTGCATATTCGTCCTGATAAATATAATTCAGTTGTCCTTTTTCATGCCTTTATTTACGGGTTTAACTTTGTGACTATAACATTCTTTATAGCATTTTTTTCATTTGTAGATTCGGTTTGTTTCATCTAGATATTGTTTACATACTCTTTTCAGATAGTTTTGAAATCAGAATTAAGCTTCCTGAGACATCCACTGTATTTTTCTTTAATTATGTCCTTGAAGATTGGTTGTTTCTTTACTTTTCATCCCTTCGAGATTTGTTGGGACGACATTTGAACATTTCCCCATTGCAGTGGGGGATCTTTTTTGAGCCAGCATCTTCTGCAACACTGGACATAGGTTTTTATAGTCCCTTTTGAAGGACCGTTTTCAACGTTCCTCATTGGTATTTGAACCTTCGACTTAAAATTAGCCACTCACGTCTTAACTCCAAAGCAAAATGCTCTAGAACCACTTCAAATCTCATGGCCTTTAAAAAAGTACATTGACTGTCTATAAGCACTGAAGGCTGATTGAAGGTTTGAAAAAATATACTCTGATGTCCAGTCTTTGCGTATTTGAGAATCTTGTGTTTTTTATTCGATTTATATAAATGTACTCTGGAGTGAGATATTTCACAAGTTCAACTAAATTACAGTTGTGAATTAATTAATCATGAATTTTGCTTTTAAACGGCATATGTATGATTCTTAGCATTTTGTTCACGAATCAATTTCTTTTGTATTTTTCTTATTTATAAATGTAATTTTCCAATAAATTTTTTTCAAAGCTGCTGTCAGAAAATAAAATTGTTTACCTACCTACCGACCCAACTTGAGAATTTAGGGTCGGGTTAGGGGAAACAAAGATATTTTTAAGTCCTGCCTCAGAATGGAAAAATATATATATCAATGTAAATTATATGACATATCCGATAAACAACTTACAGAATTCAACTATAAACTTTTAAACAATATTCTTAGTAATAATTTCTATCTCAGTAAATGGAAAAAAGAAACGAGTAGTCATTGCAAATTATGCCACGTGAACGAAACTTCAAAACATCTCATTTTTGAATGTTGAAATGTTATTGAAATATGGAACAGATTAAGTACATGTATATATCTGAAAATAGATATCAAATGGAAACATGTAATAATTGGATTTAGCTCTGAGCGCAATAGAAAAATTGTATCACTCAACGCATTCATCTCTTATGTTGCCTATAGAATTTACAAATATAAGATGTACTGTCGACTAAATTCCTTAGATGAAACTAGTTATAACATTTTCAATCACGTTAAATCTTCAATTTTTTTCTATGCTTCCATTCTGAAAAATTTGAAATCTCTTGACTACAAACTTTTTTAAAATTTTGCACAAAATATTTCTGTATCAATTGTCTTAAGGTAATGCTGTCATATTGTTTGTAATGTAATTTGTCTGTTATATATATTTCACTGCTGTTTGTATTAAGAAATGAAAATAAAATAAATATAAAAAAAAATTACTTTCATAGTCTTTTTTATCAGCAATACAACAAAGACAGCTATTTACTTCCTTACCTGTGGCCCCGTGGGACCCATAAGACCGGCAGGCCCTGGGGGTCCTTGAATACCCTGCTCTCCTTGGAACCCTGGAGATCCTGCTTGTCCAGATTGTCCCTTCGGTCCTACTGGCCCGCGAGGTCCTGGTTTACCCCTCTCGCCCGGTGGGCCCTTTGAAAAGTATGATCAAATATGACATATATGGCATCTCTCCTTTTTCCTAGATGTCTATATTATATTCCTTAATGGGGAGAAATATAAGTAAAAAGGTTAAATATAAGTAAAAATCACCAATACTTTCATAATTTCTCCGTATTTTAAATTTAAAAAAACGAAGGTAAGTTTAAATAATAATTTTAAGAAAAAACTAAGTAGACATACGATCGGTCCCCTCTCTCCTTCATCTCCTGCTGGTCCTGGCAAACCCTGCAAAGTCATTTAGATGTATAAAAACTTGTTTTACTGTCATAAAGAATTTTTATTGCAGATTCTATCAGTTTTGATTAGAACTACTTACAGGTTTGCCTCGTCCTCCTCTCCTTCCTCTACGTCCAGATCTACCTGGTGGTCCCTTTAGAAGAACAGAATGGTAAAATTTTTATGAAAATATATTCGGGTGTAATCATAATGTATGGTAATGCTGCTTTTATATAAGGTAAGATTATCTTATCAAATATTTAAATGAATTAAAAAAAAAATGTTGTGCAGAGGGAAAGATTTATACGATCTAAAATGGCATGATTTTCACATTGATCCAATTCCAAATTATAACATATATTTACAAACCACAAGTCCAGGTGGTCCTGGGTATCCCGGCATTCCTAGTGGTCCCATCATTCCCTACAATAGGATTTTTATGCATTAAAAAGAACGTGAAACAACACAAGGATACAAAAAAGTTGTTTTTTATTTCAATGACCACATCGTTTGTTAGTTAACTTATTAAAAAGTGTTTCCATTCCCATTAATATGCATCAATATATCACATTGTATCAAAATCAGATCCTGACCTTTTCACCTTGAGGTCCTGCGTCTCCAGCCTCGCCACGAGGTCCGGGGTTTCCCTATTTAAAAGAGTCAAGTGTAAAATAAACTGCATAAAATCAAATGAATTGTTACTCATAGATACATGTACATAAATGTTCTCAAACAACCCTATCAAAAAGTACTAAGTAAAACAAGAAAACAAACAAGCAAAAAAAAAAAACACCACTGTTACTGAAAAGTAAACTATAGTTAACTAGTACTATAGTGAATCAAAGATTTCACTTTGAAGCATTTTTACTATGAATTTCAGATAGATATATTTGATTTTAAAAAATACGTACAAGTAATTTTCTGATATTAAAAAGAACTTTTGTATATTTCCATTTTCTTTCAAAAAATTACATCACATTATTGGTACATGTATGTCATTTATGAAATATTAATGCTCTTAATCTTCAAAAAAGTTTTAAAGTAAAGTTTCATAATACATCAAAGTACATACTATAGTTAACTATATTAACCTATACTTAATTATAATTATTCCTTGTTAAGAAATTTTGAAGAAAACTCCATATGTTCACTATTATTTTGAACTTCTACTACCTCATAACTAGATTTCGTGAGGCTTAACTTGTTAATGAAGGGTTAAATAACATGGTGCATTTATCTATGCAATATTAATCGTAATGAGTGTAAAATATATCTAGTCTCAACATAGAATAAATCCATTTATATTTATTCATCCCTAATCACAAATAAATTTGTTTCACATATCTTACTCAAGCGCCAGTAGTCCATGGAAATCGTGAAATAAGAATCAAATCATTCATATATGTACTTGTGATAAGAATGGCAAGTCAAAATCATCACTCACCTTTGCCCCCTCAATTCCCTCAAGTCCGGGGGGTCCAGGCTCTCCCTGCAGACCCTTCTCTCCGAGGAATCCATAATCTCCCTTTTGACCCACCAATCCAATATCACCCTAAAGCAGAAATATGGAGGTTAAGCTTTACAGTAAGAAGTATTTTTACATGCATTATTTTCTATGGAATATATAATGGAACATATATTCACAGATAACATATCAATAAAGATTTTTGCTTATACCAAAAATCTATAGTTTCTTTATCTTAAGGATGTTAAAATATTTTCATGGATTCCCTACATCCGTCGACTATCATCAAAATTTATTGCTGTAATTTAGATTGGGAACGTTTTGATTTGAAAAAATAACAACTCTAACCTTTTCTCCTTTTGACCCCTGATTTCCAGGAGGTCCTGAGTCACCCTACAATAAAATAAATAAAAAAAGCATTAAAGCACACTGCAATGAAATAAAAATGTTTTCATGTTTATTCACTTAAAAGATATAAATTCCATAAGATTACATTGCATTTAAGAAATATGATTTTGGATAATACTGTAAAATCATTAATTTCCGTAAGGTTTTAATTTTTGTTGTTTTCGATGTATAGAGAGACCCTCAAATTCATAACAACCTCGAATATAAAATTTCATATGCATCATTACTCAATACTTTACCAACCTCAAAATCAAATCCCCCAAAAATCAATTTTTCTTTCTCAAACCTCGAAAATTTGACCCCACGAAAATATATGATTTCACATTATCATATTCATTAACATTGTGCAGTAATTACTCACTTTGATTCCACGTGGACCTGGGTACCCTGTCACACCTTGAAGACCCATGACACCCTACAATGATATTATTATTTTAAAAGTCTAAGAAAGAAAAAAATGAAAATACATAAATATTACAATATATTGCACGAAAATATTAATATAAATACATTAAAGTAAATACGGTAAACTGTTTCCGTCCTTTTCATGCTAATTTGGTTTGAAACTGAAGGTCCGAGTTGTATCCTTTATTGAAATTCACATTAAAATTACCTCATCTCCCTTTATTCCTGGCTCTCCATCTTTTCCAGCGTTACCCTGGTAACAAAAATGAAATCATATTTTCTTAGTGGTAAGGAACTAAGGTTAAAACACAGTATCCTGGAGGTCCTACTTACGAGTCGACCAGTGAGTGGTTTTCCACTTGCTGCGTTTTTAACTCAGTTGGTATATAAATTCTCTAGATGCACAAGGTCAAACGCATTTTAAAACGTAAATTTAGTATTTGTGGCTTTCAGATTTTTTTCACATTTTTTTTCAAAAGAGAGCCGACCTCGTTCATTTTATATTTTATTTAAATAAAAAAGAAAGTAAACGATACTCAAGTCATAAATCTACAACTATCGAATTTCCTTGTACTTAAGATTTTCTTTGTCTCTGCACATTAAATTTATTTAACAGATTTTATATTATATATAAGTGCATATGATTTTGTTTTAAATTTAAACAAACATAATCTTACTGGTGGTCCTACTGGTCCAGGTAAACCTGGGAGACCAGGCTTACCCATTGGGCCAGGGATTCCGGGGGGTCCAAGGGGTCCAGGAGGCCCTGGGGGGCCCTAAAACAAAAATCAAACGTCATATCATAGAACTCATACATTAATATTTTATTAAAATACAAAATATAAACATAAACATTTCTCCATATTTTTCTGTTATTTTTTTGTTGAAAACATACTATTGCTCCAGGGGCACCAGATTGACCAGGGGCACCAGGCGCTCCAACTAAACCCTGCGGTGATAAAATAAATAAAAATGTTTGAAATTCGTATATAATTTTAACAGGAAAGAATACTGAATTATGAAATACTGTTATTCATCATGCATACAAAGGAATAAACGAATTTTATGATCGATGTGTTCTCAAAGCGATACTTTTCTTCCAATATAGGTTTTAGTTGAAAACTCACCTCGTTTCCTTTTGGTCCCGGGGCTCCTTCAAGTCCTGGCAGACCCTTTGAAAAATAAAATCAGAATTTAATCATTGATGGTAATTTCAACATCAAATACCCAAGAAAAGACTTTTTTCTGTGATATTTAATGCCCTATGAGGTTTCCCCTACCGGAGATCCCATTGGTCCTGGTCGACCCTGTGGTCCAAGGAAGCCTCTAGGTCCCTGAAAAAATATTTTAAATTTTCAAGTTCATTGATAGTCAATTTCTATAAATTTCCTTCAGGTAAATATATCAAAATCAAAAGCCTTACAATTTCTCCTGGTGGCCCAACTGGTCCTTGTTCACCAATGTCTCCCTATACAAAAGAATAATACTTATATTTCTTCCAAAATATTTGTAATGGATAATTTACATTAAAATGTTTCTCATGGGAAAAACAGAATTCAGGAAGGTTAAAAACAAATTGAAAAGGGGGAACAACTCGTGCGAGATTTGAATATCTACCTACCGATGTTCCTACTGGTCCTACCGGTCCAGTAGCACCTGTTGGCCCAATGTGTCCCTGTAAGTAAAAATAAAATAAATGAACAGCCTGTATCTTTTTGGCAATTTTAGATTGAATCTTAAGTTCAAAACTGTCTGATTTTTCATTTCATCGACAGAAAGTTTCACACGAGGAGCATGATGAAAATCTACGAAGGAGGTATTTAATAAAGGTATGCATTATGTATTTTAATGTCATTTCCCGTTTATTATAAACGAATTCATGATGAATTTGCCAAGGTGGTAAATACAACTCTTTATCGAGTCAAACTTTTTTCTTTAGATTTTTTTGAATAGAAAAGAAGAACAGCTGTTCTGTCATCTTTCTAAAAAATAATTTTCTTTTGTTGTTTGGATCTTCTAAATAATTGATAGTCTAAATTGTTTGGATAATCTATCTTAATGACGAAATGAAATTACGATTGATATTTTGCCAACGTTTATAACTAAGTAGCAATGAAGAACAGTACCCATCAATAATGTAAAAGCTTTAGGAACTACAAATTTCTTACCCGTTCTCCTTTTGGTCCTGGAAAGCCTGGCATGCCGGGGTATCCGGGTGGACCCTTAGAATCAAGATCAAATACATGTACATTACATTAATGATGTCAGACAAAAATGGTGAAAATTAATGATACTTGATGTACGAATTGTTTTTTCCTTCTTAGCCTTAACTTTAAAGGAAAGAAGAAAATTGGAAAAAAAAACAACTCATGTCTTGCACAAGTTAAACTTGAAAATCCGTTTTAGAGCAAGATGTTGCGTTTGGCCATTTCATGCTTTTTTTCTCATTTTATTAAACCAATATACATGTACATGTACATCGACATTCATGTCAGGATTTACAAAAATTTGGGAAAAAAATAAATATTTGGAAGAAACAGGAATAGAGCTTTATACTTGTTTAACATCATCAAATACCTTTTCACCTGGTGGTCCCATTTCTCCTCTGTCGCCATCAAAACCTGGACGTCCCTAAAATCCATAAAAAATTACATTGATTTCAATATTCTACGTAAAATCCATTTCAAAGGGATTTCATGAATTAGTTGCGTTTAACAAAGTCTATCAAATGAGATTTTCATTTACCCGTTCTCCTGGTTGACCAGCAACGCCCTGAAATCCCATAGGCCCTGCTATACCCTAGTGAAGAATCAATACAAATAATTTTCGATAGTTTTATTACTGTATTATGGTCTAAGTGATCCATGGGTTATCCTCTTCATAAAAATTGTAAGAAATTAAAATAATGAACCTGTTCTCCTGGATTCCCAACATCCCCCTTCGGACCATCGATTCCTGGAGGCCCCTGGAAATGGTAACAAAAATAACATAAAATTCAGTTGAAATTGACATGAGGGTTACAAAAGCGTAAAAATGATTTTTGTATTTTTTTATATGACGTGTACTTGGAAATAAATATTATTTCTTATTGATTCCATCTTAAATCAGCCATTTACAAATGCTCTTATGTTCTTTTCAGTGTCAAAAACGAAGTGGGTGATTTACCGCAGGTCCTGGAATACCGGTCATTCCCTGGGGTCCAGGGGCACCACGCATTGCAAGCTACAAGAGGAAGTCATCGCGAATTATAAGTGTAAGGTAAGCATGTGAATGTAATATCACCATGACTCTCTTATTCTAGTCTTTTTTTAATCTACTTACCATGTGTTGTCCAAGGATTTCTCTGAATGCTTGAGCCTGGTGGGACGTCTTAGATGCAAAATTAGCCTGGAAAGGCAAAAGAGCCAATTATAATAACAAAGCATTTAACATTTCAAAATAAAACACCATTGCTTCTTGAAGACTTTTCATCAAACACTTCACAGTACTCACATCGATGATGAAGACGTTTCCTGGGGGTCCTGGCATACCACCTGCTCCAGGTATACCGTCACGTCCGTCAAAACCCTGACATAAAAGACATAAAACAATCATCAATAGAAAATCATCGCCACTCTATCATATCTAACTCAAAGTTTGGAATTTCATCTTTGGTAGGCAGTAACTCATGTGTTTGTGCTAAAAAAATAATTTTTCTGTGTTAAATCTTGAATGATTAGTCAATTCTAAAAAAAATTAAGAACTTTTTTCAAAATTAAAATTAAAAATCACCCAATCTTTCAAAAGTCAGAAAAATCAACATTATCAAAACAAACGGCTTTTCCACGCTTAATGTAACCATTACTCAAGATAACGTAAAAATTCGATTCTTGATAACATAGACAAACGCCTCTTTAACAAAAACAGAACTGAGAAATTTTCTTGTAAATAGTCTTAAACAAAATTACGCTATAATAATCACCTACAAAGGTGTTTAAGTGTCCAAACGTTTTCGATACTAATGAACAAACTCTAGCTTTGTTCAGGTTTTAAACCGAAATAGGCTACTGGCAAATAAGTTGATGTTTGAGAGATTTTAACAGCCTCGTTAAAAACCAGCATTTCATATATTCTAGTCGACCACATATATGCTTTAATTGAGGAATTGTCAAACATATGCTTACCGTGTCACCCTTTGGCCCTGGTGGTCCTGGGGGACCCATGGGTCCGGGGGGTCCTGATGCGCCCTGAAATCAGAAGCAAACTAGACTACAACGGTTGACATGCAAATATGATTATTGTACTACAAAAAGTTTGCTTCAATACACAAATCTAATTGGATCTTTGTCATATCTTACATAGCGGTAGGCGTAGGACACTCCAGTCGATGCATCGTACGTCAACATCTACAAAGAACATGATAGAAAAACATTAACATACAAGTGTACTTATATATTTCTATCGTAAACAATACTGTTTTCACTACGAAATGTCCATTTTCATGTCAATATTTACCATTTTGAACATTTCACGTACAACACTATACAATGACCATCATTACTTTGATGATAAGGTTAAGATTTTTAAAGCAATAACCTAGAATTCTTGCGATGAAAATTAGTTGGAATTGTACCTATATGCTACTTTTAAACACCCTTCGGCGTAATATGAATATTATTTCAAGAACATTATCGAAGAAATATATTTTAATTGATTAATTATTATTAAAATATTAATTTGAATTGAAAAAAATCTTAATCATTTAATTATAAGCAGATGCTTAAATGTAGAGCAAAGACCTTTTTATCCCCTTTGTCTTTTAATTTACTCACCGGCGCTCCCTCTTTGCCCATCAACACAGAACTTCCCATTTTTCCCACAGTTTCTCCAGTTTTGGCGTCCACGATGAATCCGCCAGACGATGATTTATCCAGAACTCCCATAGCTCCTGACTTGTCCACCATGACAACTCCCCCCGCTCCCGCTCCCATGCTAGACTTGTCCACCATCACGACTTCTCCACCTCCCATCTTACTGACATTTCCCGTAACGGCGGCCATAGATTGGTCTACGAAACCTTGATCAGACTTCCCGGTACTTAAGGTGAAATAATCCTGGTTGCATTCAGGGGCATAGTATCGACAAACATCCTTGGCCCCCTCGGGGAAGGGCATGTAAATCAAATCTTGGATTGCACCCTAAAACAAGGATTCATATAACTTCATTTCAAGTCAAAAAAATATAAATGTAAAATGGATGTCTTATGATTTAGTATTTCACATGTATCTTTCTCTTTTTTTATCTTTAAAATATCAATTATAATCAGTATTTTTCCATATTTTTAAAACAAGAATAAAAAAGGTATTCTTACTATAAAATTTTAATTTTAATTATAGTTTACCTTGAATTCAGGAGAGTCATTTAAGTCACGACCAATAAACAAGATTCCCTCTCTACTGAAAGCATCCTCTGGAACCATGCTGCGCTTGAATGAAATGGGTTCCCCTGGGGCACAGTCAAAGTAAGGCGTCACACTTCCTCCACTTACACTGATTCCTATCCTGTGCCAGCTATTAGAAAGAAATATTCATTTCTGGATGAATTTCAGATATAATGCATGTTTCTTGGTGATTTATATGCTTTGCATCCAACATTATCTAAGACATTCATGATCCCTTCGAAAGATATCATAGGTGTGTTGGCGTACTTAAGAATTTCATATATAATCATCTGTCTAAAGTCATAATTTTCAGTAAGAGTTTATTTCAAATCTATTTTTAAAAATCTTGCAACTCAAGCATTCTTTTGGCTAAACAGAAACGTTTCTCACTGCAAAAAAAAAAAACAAAACAAAAAACAACAACATGTATTTGATTTCAAGAGTGATTACTCCAACAAAAGTGATATGGAGATTTCAGGTATCTTTTTTGAATTCTTACTTTCCATCATTGGTGTTCCATGATTCGAAGAGTGTGGCTTTATCTAAGGTTGTTCTGGCCTCTTCATCGCTAAGAAGAAACTTTGCGTCTTCTCCTACGTACAATCCAAACACTTCTCGAGCATCATTGTTGTAAATGGTGAGCAGAGGTATGGATAGTTTACCATCTTTGGCAGTCATGTTGTTATGCCTAAAGTTGGCCATTAAAGAAAACTCTTCTGGAAGTCCATCTAAAAGAGATGAATAATATTTTTTGTACTTCTACAAGATTTCAACCATAAAATATAAATATTGCTCCATGAAAAATGGTGTTTTTATACAAATATTGAAGTGAAATATAATCCAATGTCACTTTTTTATTGTTTGTCAAATAAAGGGGACAAGGTTCTTCTTTTAACAAAATACACATCCACAAAGGTGCAATAAATAAGTGTGACAGTTAATTAACAATTTGAAAGACAGCTTATGAAACTGAAAAACTTTTAAATTTTACCTTTAAACCTAGCAAACACAAGTTCATTTACAATATGAAGCAATTTTGGATCAAAACCAACATACAAAGTAAGCCGTTCGAATTTACAAAGCTTTTACAAAGCAACTACTTATGTTTACACATTTCAAACCATGTCTAACCAGGTCTTGAAGGAAACTGTTTTGAATATATATCAAGAAGGAGGGTATGAAAATATTCAACATTTTAAGAAGTAAAACAAATGAATAGTGAACATATTTTCATGAGAAATTTGAATATCACGGGTTTTGTCTTCTAGATTTCTTCTTGCAGACAAAAAGAATACATTATGAGCTTTTGAATGTTTCATGTGATATGTTTGGCACCTTATCTCGGTTAACTAAAAACATTGTTGTTTTCAAAACATAGTGCTTTAACGTCTCTTACCTCTGAATGTAGACTGAAATTGCACGGTGAGTTGCTCCTCGCCCGTGATCTGGAATGCCCGATTGTCGTCCCTCCCACTACACATACCATTCGTTCGCGAAGTAGCATCTGCTATTCTCACTTCTTCCAACAAATCAATTTCATCTAAAAACAACATTAATCTGTCAATATCATTTTATTAATTCATAGAATTTCCTTCCTGAAAATTAAAATACAGAGTTTACGGGTGGTTTATTAATATACCGTCTCCGAAGTATGCAACTGTTGAGGGATTTCTTATGTATCTGCTAAAGATACCCGATACCATCAGTGATTCTAGGGTTAGGACCACAAAGCTACCAAAACTTAGCTTACAAACAGGTATAAACTATCAACACTTTGACGACAATTGAAAGAAATATGAAATGTTTACCATACACAAGAATACATGTAAATAAAATCAAGATTTCAATTTAATCTTATCAACTGCGTATGGCCACGTGATTTACACATGGTAAATAAAGTATGTTTTCAAAGCTGGCTTTGTAACTGGTTCTAACTGTCTAACAAGCATGATCTGCCATTGAACAGTTATATTTGCTGGAATTCTTTCGAGTTGATGTTTATATCACAATAATACTCCAAGTTTCCAGTTTAGTCAGCCTTTATTGCCATTTGCTTCCATTGATATCCAACTGGGTTAATCTTTTTGTTGGCTTATTTAAATCTTCAAACGTACCCTAATCTTAGCTTTAATTTAATTTAAACTTTATTTTTGAGAGACTTTCTAATTGATTTATCCACCTTTCTCGGTTCCTTTTCTGTGCAATCGAATGGTGCAGACTGCAGATTTGAATGTACCCTTTTGGAGACTTTGTAACTTGTGATAGATTCTTTGTTTTTTTTACTGATTGAATTCTTTTAGGATTTTCATAGGAATACCAGACTCTGTTTCGTTATTTTTGAAAACATGCAAAATATATATTTTTAGTTTTGGTTATTGTATTTACGAGGGACGTAAAATTAAGAAATGAATTTCATTTTTGAAGATTCATGAGGTTATGAACTATGACGCTTCTCGCGTTAGCACTTCATGATAAATATGCCGGCGTGAAGCTTTGTAGTTCATGTACCTCATGAATCTTCAAATTGAAATTCATTTCTTATATTCACATTGTTTTTCTGATGAGTTGCCATAAATGTACGCCAATGAATTGTCATTTTTAAAGCAAAACAGCTTGCACTATATTTTTGACGTCGACTGCAGTATTGTGACCTAACAATGGAGATATTCATGCTCATTCATGGTAATTCATGATAAAATGAACTGTATTCTATTTTGTAAAGAATCATAGGGGAAATTTATTTGAAATGTAAATATTGAATTATGTCATCAGCTCGACGACATACAACATAGAAATCATATGCCATTAAGCTTGACTTTATCTAATTATTGAATCTTTAATGTGTTGATTACATCACATCGTTCCATTGTGAGAAGCTGGAAAACAAGGGCTAGTCGAGACACTGCATTTAAAATGAATAGTCAAGAATCAGTAAACTAGAGTGAAATTAAACGCTCCATTAAAGCTGCTGTAAAACTTGTTCAGAATCTCAAAGGTATATTCACTGAAATATATGAAATATATGAAATTTACAGCAACCAATGTCTGTTTTATACACACATAAGCAGGTGCATTTCGATGAAAAAATGATATAATGGGCATAAAAAATGTACCCGTCTTTCGCGACAAGAACATACAACAGCTGATGTATATTTGCGAAAATTCAACAAATTATCACTAAGTACAGTATCTTTGATTGACTTTTAGACACATAGTAATTAAATTTGATAGACATCATTTTGGGGTAGTTCACACTGTTTTAAAGAAACATTTAGTTCACACTGTTTAAAAGAAACATTTAATAATAAAAAAAAAAGTTTAATAATCAAAGGTCACCCAATATTATGAAAAATGAGTGAAAACGACAGCGTGAATTAAATTTCTTCATGACAGGGTCCAAACCCATGCACGGGCCATTAAGAGTAAAGGGTTTCCGGAGATAAAAAGAAAGTTAATGTTTTGTCACATCAACAAAATTGGCCAGCACGTTCAGCTTTTGACTTGTTTCATATCCCAAATTTGATAAAATACTGATCAGAAAGAAAAAAAAACAAGTACAGGAAATCATAGGATCTGCCATATTCCAGTATACTAAGTGTCATAATCAAATATGTGTTCTAAAAACAATTAGAAACTGAATAAAAATGTTACGGATGTGTGTTTTAATTAAAAGAGAATATTTAGTTTAATCATTAAAACTTAAAAGCGTTTTTTGTTTCTTTCCGAGCACCGAGGACATTATTGAACGCCCCTCATATCCTGATGAATCACTGCTTGTCTGGTAATAAAAAGAAATCCAAGATAAAGCCAGATTTTTTTGGTTGTTTTTTTTTTTTTGTTTTTTTGTTTTTTTTGATTTGTTTCTTTTTTTATTATATAATTTGAGAGTTATGTAACTGAATTTTATATGATCGGGAAAAATTCAAGCAATGCAGTAGATAATTCGTCACATTCAAATGCTTCAAAGATATATGCGATTATTCTGTGAATATTAAATTTTAGGACTGTTGTATATTGCTTTCCCTCACTTGGAGGGACCATCACTCTGACTATTTTATCAAACGAAGTTTTTTGTCCACCGGAGTACCATCCCTGCTTTTCTTCGGAAGATTCTAGAACAAATTTCTCCTTTTTATTCACCTGAAATCTAACTCTTAAAGGTCTTTAGATAAGGATAAAAAAAATCATAATTGTGTTTATTAGAATAAAGGTATCTTTCTTTTCCTCTTTCTCTATCAATTCATTTATATACATTTCTTTTTTGTATATGTATTTAAATATCACATTGATATACGAGGAAGACTTCCTCCGTACTTTATAACTGAAAAATACGAATTTTACACCACTATACAGGTTTTCATACTTTTGATCAATAAATTTTTGATATTTGTAATATGAGGGCTGTTCAATAAATAATGTCCTCGGTGCTTGAACAGAAACAAAACACGCTTTTCAATAATATAGTCTTAATGAGTTCTATTTTAATGCAAACAAAATGCCCGTAACATTTTTATCCATTTTCTGATTGTTTTTAGAACATATTTTTGAGTATGGCCTATCGTATACTGGAATACTATGATTTCCTGGGCTTGTTTCTTTTTTCTGAAAGGTGTTTTTTTCAAGTTTGAAAAATGAAACAGGTCAATGGGTGAAAGATCTGGCGAATTTTGTTGGTGTGACAAAACATCAACTACATTTATCTGTTTATCCACAGAACTCCTTAACTCTTCATGGCATGTTGATTTGACGTTGTCATGAAGAAATTTAATGTAGTGGATTCCTGATTCTGGTTCCATTCTCCATAAACTTTTCGTTTTGTTTTTTTTGTTTTGTTTTTTTTTTGGCAAAAAATTGCTTTCTAGACTTCTCCAGAAATTGAACTGCCTCCCCAAATAAGAATTTTAACAAGACCGCTAATATTTGAGAAAATGGCAAATAAAACTGTTTTTGTGCATTTGCAATTCTTTGCTTTTCTCAGACCTTGATTTTTTTTTTTGTTAAGTGCATCTTAAGGTAAATAATGTCTTATGGGTTTAGAGCCATGGATTTTAGTTTCATTATCTGTTTGAATTTCAGACAAACGTTGATAACTACATTTTTTGATTTTTTAGAATAAATGTTTAGAGAGTGGTTTTCATACATTTTTTCAAAACATTGGGTGACCATTCAGTAATAAGCTTTTTTTACTGTCAAATGTTTCTTTAAAACAGTGTAAAGTACCCCCCCCCCAAAAAAAAGATGCCTGAAAGTGTCTTAAAGTCAATCAAACATCGTCAGTGATATGTTGTTGAATTCTAGCAAACATTACATTGGTTGTTGTAAGTCCTTGTCGCCAATTTTTGATGCCCATTATGTAAAATTTGTTCATTGAAATCCACGTGCTCATATGTCTATAAAACAGACATTGGTTGCTGTAAATTTCACATAATTCAGTGAATATTTCTTGGGGATTCTTAGCTAGTTTTACAGCAGCTTTATTGAAGCATTTAATTTCACTCTAGTTTACCGATTCGTTACCATTCATTTTTCATGCAGTGTCTCCAATATCCCATGTTTTCCAGCTTCTCACAATGAAACTATCTGAAGATAAACTGTAATTAATTCAGTAAATATTCAATCATGAGAGAAGTTCAAGCTTTACGTCGTATGATTTCTATATCTTATGTATGAGCTTAGGACATTATTTATTGAACAATCCTCGTATAATATGAATATGACGAAAATAATTACATTGAAACGTCGAAATAAACTGAACAAGATTACAGCAAATCAATCACGGAAAATTGAACATCTCCTGTAGACTCGTTACATCAGCCCTTAGCTCTTTGAGCTGATAAAATCCGACGACAGTTCCAACTGTTCAATCCTTTCTTCACCATTACAGTAGCTCAGTCGCTGGAGCACTTGCTCCCTGAATGGAAGGTTATGAGTTCAAATGTTGGCCGCGATTGACCGAAGTCGATGATAAAATAGGCAGCAAATGGCCCTTCCTCGTCTCAAGCTATTGTTCGGAGTCCGCATACAGTATAGCTCTCTCATACCCGTAGCTGTTGGATCACATGAAGGTGGGCATCCCCCGCCGACCGGTCTCACCCGTCATGTGTCCCTTGTCATGATTGAGAAATAACGAGGAAATCCGTCGACTATTCAATCTGTGAATAATGGCCTAAAACGTCAGTCAGAATTTGACTTAATGATAAATTGTAGTTGCTAACAAGGTCATTGTATCGACCATAGAACTTACGAAATTTTGACTTTAAACGGGACTGCTGATGAGCAACTTGTTTTGCAAATAATTTACCTTGTTTTAGAAATTGTTTATTCGTAGAGCATCCTCTCGAATCAACTGAGACATATAAGCTACATAATTATGCAGGTGATGAAGGTGTATTTCTGCATAAGTAAGGGACGTACATAATTGAACAGTTAAAGTTATCACGTTTATTATAAAGTTTGGATCTTGGATTGCAATGAACGTCTTTGTTTAAAGTAAATATCCAAATATGAAACAGATGTGTCGAACGATGTGGAATCTTTTGTTTCAAGCTCAAAAAATAAATTACCCCTGTACACAATTTGTAAATATAGATATCAAGGTATCACTTTTTAACATTTCTTTTTAGGATGATGCTATGGATTGGTTGCTTGTTGACAGGTCACACCCGCCGTGTGCCATATCTATTTATCAGGTAGACGAAACCTAGTCAATTCAGTATAAAAGAAAAGGTCCAACAATTGGTATAAAGCAAGTCAGCCAATCTACGACCCAAACCATTTTTGATTTGCTAGAATTTTTAACGTGCCAATACCTCCATGCGCTTTCACATTAAATGTTCGAATCGTTCGACCTCGATTTTACTTTCTCGACTCCCCCGCAAAAGAGCGGTAGTAAGTTAGATAACTGCGATCCGATTGGAGTAGATTGGTCGTCAACAAAAATGACATATGTAAAAATTATTCTAATGCTACGTTTAACTATTCTTTTTCATATAATGCAATGAGGTTGAAGTTCCCATGGCCAATTTTTATGAGTTTTTTTGTAGACTAAAGTAACCAATCTACTAGCCTAATTGTTTATGTAGCAAAAGTACCCTTGAGATTATATATATATATTCTAAAATGTAATAATTTTACAGGCACACTTTAATTTGAAGACGAGCTGTTTTGACATACTTTAAATTCGAAATCTATTATCCACTTTCTAAGAAGAAAATACAAAATTTGCTAACATCAACTCTTCAGTTAAGGATATGGAGATAACGAACAGTCAAGTAATGTGGTCTGAAAAGTGCATAACAATCACAAGAGGAAAAAATGTGACAAAATGCATGATTAAATTTCTAGTCAAAAGTTCTGTCTTTCATCGAAATTACAAAATCAAAAAATGTAAAATCCAAATAAGTCACGTGCAGTGTTTCGAGATCCTTCCAAGCTATTCACGAAACTTTGGTTATCAAAGTTTTTGTGTAATGCGTGATATTTTTAGTCATATGTCGAAAGTAAAGAAAATGTTCTTGAACAAATTGCTTTAAAATACTAGTATATCATCCAAATTCATATATCAAATTGCTTTAAAATACTAATTAATACTAATAAAATCATTTTCAGACTATGTTTTAATAAGAACTGACCGACTAAAGTTGTGTTCGATTACTTTTAGTTATGTAAGCATCTATTGTTGTGATATGACCCAATAAATATATTTTGAATTAGGTGACGCTGCAAACAGTATATTTATTGTGTGTATTTTACCGCATATACGTATATTATATAAGATTATCACGTTATTCACATCAATGCACTGTAAAACTTTTTAAAAAATGCCTACTATTCTCCTATGGATTCACTTTGAAATAATGTTTTTGAAATCAAAACTTAAAACGTAAGAATATTGTTTTAGTATCAACTCTTAATAGAACTTCAAGTCCAAAAAGAATACTGAAAATGTCTTTAAAATTTAATGACAATAAAATTAGTCAAGATAATTAATTAAGCTTTATAAACTTGTTTCATTGCACAATCAGTCGGAAGACAAAACTGGTAAAACATTATCTACTTCCTTATCCTGTGGAAGAAGTAATGAACTCAAGTTCCAAGAGGACAGCTAATAAAAGCATCACGGTTTTTGAGAATTTTTCTCCTGAAGTGCAATCTGATAATTAGCATCTAACGTCTTAATGTCAATACACTTTGATAAATGTTCTTTTGAAACCATTTTAATACTTTCCATGCATATGTCTACGTGTCTAATTTTTCTTGGCGGCCAGCATGAGAACGTACAGCAGAAACGCTGACACATTGAAACTGCAAAGCTCTGATTCAATTAATTTAACTACGAATTATATACTTTGATGCTTATTTCTTTTAACAGTGCTTCAAAATGATAGCTTGTATTTGTGAAGAAAGAACAAGAAATTGCCAAAACAAAAAATTGAATTTTTAAATAGGTTAGAAAAAAATCCATGCTCTACACAGTAACCTGATCTCGGTCATTTGTATGAAATAATGGCATTGTTTAAAAGAAAAATTAAATTTATTTAGACTGAAAAAGTTGAGGGCTTCTTTTAAGACAATTTTATTGCTATAAATGAAGTGACCTCTAAATGCAGTACTCCTTCCCTTAAAATCCGAAGAGTGTGACGTGGCGACACTACGAGAGTATCATGGGAAAAAAAACTTACCTAAAACAAATGCAACGTTGGCACACAAACATCCTGGAATTAATAAAATGGAAAGAATAAAGAACTTCATATTGGTCCGTGATAATGAATACCCGAATTGAACACTTGTCCACATATTTGAGCAAATTGAGCGTAAAGGTTTCCTCATTTCAATGGACTAAATCCCAGTCAAATAATCTTCAAAACTCTCAAAATGGCGGCTGTTTCAAAGAAATTATTTACACCAGCATTCTGTTTAATTCCCTTAACTTCCAGGGATTTGCTCCCTGTGTACTTGTACTTTGGTCCGTTTTGGTCACTTTGGCCTTAGTGATTTGTGACCAGTGACTACCGACTCTCAAGCCTCTGAGATTCCCAGAAGCGAGCTACAGTAGTGCCACTGTTCAGTTGGAATCTAAGCCCCGACGGTAAAATTCAACTTCAACCTTTCAAAACGTGACGTAGCACTACATAACACGTGTAGATTAGAAACTTTAGGATGAAGAATAAAAACTGGCAATCTGAGCCAGATTTAAGTGAGCAAATTTCTGGCTGATTCGAAACATTTATTAAATTAGACCACCTGCGAATTACTTTATGGTCGTAAAATCTCTTTTTCAAGATTTTAATGCTAAAGATATGCATTGACTTTTCTACAATTGATCTTATATTCAGTTTTTAATTTTGAAAATTAAATAAGAAATAATATATTTAATAAGTTTCTTATCTTTCTTTTAAAGAAAAACACACAAAAATGTTCATGGCATTGTCCGGGACATGATATTTTACTTCATCAACGTTTGTTACCCAAGTTTTAAATCGAATGTTATATATAAACAAAAATTGTAAATTTGTTCTCCACTGCATATTAACGTTTCTGTAGAAACATGTTGAATGCTCTTTTTAGTAAATATTTTGCATGTTTTATTTCAAATGAGAAATTCTTCGTGAGATTTGTCTTCGCCAGTCTTTTTATATTGCAACCCTCGTCCTAAAAAGTCATGAAATCTTACAACAAAAATTATGTAAAAAAGCTTTCAATAAAAATAAGAAGTACGAGCAGCAGGTGCGATAAACGAACACAGAGTTTGCCTAAGCCTCAGTGATAAATGGAGCATTGAAACAGTGTGCTGTATCTCGACATATAATCAAATTCTGACCCGCTTCTGTATTTTATCTTCCAGACAGCGTAATATTACAGACAGCTTACGAGTCGAAATGTGCTGAGCTTAAATTGACATATAAATCAAAATATACACACAAAGAAATTTTTGTTGTTTATTCTTTGAAAGTTTATTTTAAAGCTGAACAGTTTAGGGTACGATCAACCAGTAGAAGAGTTTAATATCAATTCATTGAAATTTGTATAAAATAATCATGGAAAATGTATTTAAGAACTTTGAGAGAGGAATGATAGACGATATTTAGATAGAAATAATTTGATTCTGTAAAAAAAAATTACTTGGGAACTTTTCTACTATCCACATGAGCATGATGAGAGTTGGTTACAAAAGCGGCACAAAAGCACTAAAAACAGATTTAGTGAATTTTACTGATAAGAAGTTTTGAATTAGATTCAAGAGATATCTCTTTCTTTCATGGTTCATTAGGAGTAAATCTAGTACTTTAAAAAGAATGGTGTATCTCTCTCTCTCTCTTTCCTTTCCTACAAGTCACAAATGACATACGTATAAGAATCCTAAATTCAGGAAGCAAAATCGTCATTTAGCGATTGCTTTCTAGAACGAACAGATAATTATCATTAAATATTATCCATGTACTTATAACGGCGCAATCAAAAACCAAAAAAAAACTCATATAAACTGCAATCATTACAGGGCACATTAATATTTGAAAATAACCTTTTCCCTTGCACTATTAAAAGAAAAGATAAGCTTATTAAATTTTTATGGCTTTGCTTTCTTTGCGATTCATTTGTTTTTACAATTTCAGTGGGTTACACATCTTGCAATTGCCCTCTAGGACATAATCAAGAATCAGGTGGTCACCGTTCTGAGGAATGTAGCTGCTCACACCTGCAAAATTGTAAATAAATTATTGGAATATGGAAACTTGTCCAAAAGAATAGGTCTATTTTCATTTTCAAGACCAAAAGCTTATAATTTCTAAGGACAATTAAAAAATAACATGATTGATTTCAGAACGGTGGTAGTGATCATAAGATTTTCAAACTTGAGAGCCACTAAATGCATAAATATCTGAAATACATTTACTTATTAAATGAATTGTCATACATTATACAATTTATCTCATTATATTATTGTAAACCTCCCAATTCACTCATACAAAATAATGATTTTATTATCATTTTTATTGTAAAATTGTGGAAATTTGAATATAATTCTTTGTGGAAAGGTCGTATTGTTCGTATTCTGACCAGGGCCGTGATATATGATGATATAAAGTCAACGGATTTGGTATAAACCTGTGATTGAATTTTTGCCCAACAAAATGCTTTCACAGCTTGATTATGAGTTTCTGTTGTCGTTGGGTTTTACATGTTTACTTTACATGTTACATTATCAATTTAATAACAACCATTACTTTACCTTTTTATGATTTATAGAATTATTTTTGATCAAATATATGAGCATTCTTAAAATAAAAATTGTGTTAAACTGTGGTCATACTGAATTCTATCTCTTCATGGCGTTTCTGTTAAGTAAACTACAATTCATTTTAAAAAGATTATGGGAAAAGCTCAAACTTACCCACATCCAATACTATCGATGGCGCTTTTAAAAATTGCCAGGAAGCCAATCCAAAGACATTTGTTCTATTCGTTCCTAACATTTCAATTAAGTACCCAAGTTTAGCATAATATGTAGACGAAAATCTGGAAGATAATTAAAACTACATTTGTTAACAGAAATTTGCAGCATTTTTTTAAAATTCACTAAAATTGCACTATGCATAATTTTGCTTCACATTTTTTTTAAATAAACATAAATATAAATAGACATAAATATCTTTTTATCGTTATTTTCATCATTTTATATGTATCCTGGGTTGATAAATATGTTATAATTTTTTTTTAAATTATTAATCTTCAAATGTACTCACTGAAAGTTTTTGTCGTTATCAGCCGCCTGCTCCATGAACCTGATGAATGGTTGACCCGCCTTTGACGTCACCTTCTGTTCAAAATCAAACTTAGGTGTCGCCAAATTGTTACGTATCGTGTACCTGATTGTAATATCATCTAAAATGAAATTGAATTTGTCTTAAAATCTTACAGAACACTGTCATTCTTTAATACAAAGATGAAAAAAACGATCGAACAGTCATTTAACTTATGCTAAATGTGATCGGGGTAAAAATACTCGGAACCCCGAAAATATGAAAAGTGTAATCGAGTGCTTAGGAGGAGTGGGCATCCCCCGTCAACCGATCGAGCCTGCTGTGAGCCTTGGTTATGATCAGACACGCGGAGTAATTCGGATCGAGACATATTTAAAAGTTAAATTGGTTGTACGTTGTACAATGTTATTATATTGACCACAGAATTTGCGAAGTCTGGCTGTAAAGCCCTTAAACATCAACTTTTTTTGGCACTAGCCTGTCTCGATTTTAAAATTGTTCGTACTCAGAATATGTGCAGCCTTATCTGAATCAGTTTGCAGACAAAACAGCATTTACAGATCATGTGATCATGTTTAAACTGAAAAAGGGAATTTAATGGAAAAGCTGATTCCGTTCTGAACATCATAACGTTAAGTTATTATTTGGTCATTACTGTTTACGGTCAGTTAAAAATCTTAATAATATAAAACACATGTGGAGTTCTGTGTGGTGTCTTTCATTCTGAGATCTTTAGGATAATATAATCTACGACAAAATGCCCTGCCAGAAGGGAGGGCTTTTGCTAAAAAGGCCAGTGAACCTAAAAGTGATTCCATTTCCTTTTTTGTTACTTTCTTACTTCTTAATACAGACTCAATTTTCCCAACAATTCAGATACTTTGTCCTATAGAACAAAAACTGTTCTAGCTATTGAATCTGTACACAATCCTTAAAATGACAACCTAGTACAAGGCCCCTCTCTTTTCTCATTAGCCAATGGAACACCTAAATACTGACACAATTCTTCAAACTTATCCATCAAAGTGCACAATGCCGTCTTGAATTGACCTATGTTCCAATTCCAATTGTAGAAAAGATGATTTTTTTTTCAAATTAGGAGCAAGAAACTGAGCAACCCATAGGTAGACAATTGTCATTGTAATAAACAATCTTAAAACCTAGTAACCAAAAATCCTGTGGGGCAAACAACTGAATGCACTCGATAAAGCCATTTTTAAAAAAAATTTAATTAGTTAATTGCAAAACATACATGTATATTATACACCTCTCTCTCTCACTCTCATACTTCCTGGAAAATGACAAATGCACATATATGAATAGACATAGAATATACATATATAAGGATAAACACACAAACATCAATATACATATAATATACATATATACATATGCAATATGCTATGCATGTTCAATTATTAATAATATTAAGAGTTACTATGAGATACATTAAAAAGACATTTCCACTTGGACCATATTTTTTTTTATAAAATGTATTTCCTGACAATTTTTCTTCTAAAGCATAGTAATAATTTAAATACTTTAAAATATCATTAAAACAATGATATTGTTTCTTCTTGATTGTTGAAATAAATATTTCTTCACTAATAGGATAATCATATTAATTGCTATGTGATCTTTTTCCAGATTACCAAAAATAAGTTTTGACATCAAATACATCTTATACCAGACTTTTGAAAAATCCAATCTGACAATGCTAGCTAAATCATAGAAACCTGTGTACAGTAGAAAAATTGCTTGATTGACTCTGGTTCTAATTTACATATTAAACAAAAGTCAAAGTGGTAAAATTTCAAGTTTAGACAAAGAACTATATGCGGTATATTGCCTATATTTGCCCCCACAAAAGTTAGATTTCGAAAACTTCCTGAAATGTGCTGAATTCAATAAATTGTATGAGAAATATAAATTAACAGAAAATATTATAGTGTCAAAGCAGTTTATTCACAATTTTTGCTTTTATGACGTCACAAACTAGTCTGATTTTATATCCTTTTTCAGAAAGAGGACAAAATGGACAAAATTTCAACAATTTTAGCTTTAAAATTTATAGAGCGCAAATTTGTTCAGGAACAATATTGACATATTTCATTGATATTATCATTCTACACATTATATCAAAATATTGATCCTGAACACACATGCGCTCGGTGACTTTTACCCAAAATATCGACGAAATATGTACACTTTTCTGTAAAATTCATAAAAAAACTGAAATTTACGTCATGTTTGTGACGTCATTACGTACATATGGCGTCATTACTTATGAAAATATTCAGTGCTTTGAGGTCAGCATATACTCCCCTGTTTAAGAACTTAATTAAATATATCTCCATCAAAGTTTGATTTGGGGGGCAAATATTGGTTATTACCGAATAAAGTTCCTTAAGTTCGTATTAGTACCTAATACACTATGAAATTTTTTTATTATTAAACCATATGAGTCCTGAATCTTTTGTTATCAATTTAAAGTTTGTATAAACATGTTTTCAGCAAAAATTTGACTCTGGCTTTAGATCAATATCCCATTTGTTTTAGCTCACCTGAGCCGAAGGCTCAAGTGAGCTTTTCTGATCAAAATTTGTCCGTCGTCTGTCGTCGTTGAAAACTTTTCACATTTTTATCTTCTTCTCAAGAACCTCTAGGCCAATTTCAACGAACTTGCCACAAAGCATCCTTAGGTGAAGGGGATTACAGTTTATTCAAATGAAGGGACAAGCCCTCTTCCAAGGGGAGATAATTATGAATTAATGAAAAATTAATTGTAAATTTTCCTCTCCAGAGCCATTGTGCCAGGAAAGATGAAAGTCATGTGGAAGCATACTTAGGTTATGTAGATTCAAGTTTGTTCAAATCATGACCCCCAGGATAAGGGCGGGGCCACAATGGCTGATAAAAATTTAACATAGGGAATATATATAGGGAAAATCTTTTGAAAATATCCTTCTCCAGAACCATTCGGCCAAGGAAGATGAAACTTATGTGGAAGCATACTTAAATAGTGTAGATTCAAGTTTGTTCAGATCATGACCCCATGGGGTAGGGCGGGGCCACAATGGCTGATCAAGTTTTAAATAGGAATATATAGGGAAAATCTTTTAAATATCCTCTTCTTCAGAACCATTGGACCAGGAAAGATGAAGCTTATTTGGAAGCATCCTTGTGTAGTGTACATTCAAGTTTATTCAAATCATGACCCCCTGGGGTAGGGTGGGACCACAATGGCCAATCAAAGTTTTACATAGGAATATATAGGGAAATCTTTAAAAATTTTCTTCTCAATTACTGTAAAGCCATGATTAGTGATTTTCATATGGAAGCATTCTCAGGTAGTGTAAATACTATAGTTTATTCAGATCATAACCTCCAGGGATAGGGTGGGGCCACAATGGGTGTAGGGAGGGAAACAATGGGGAGTCAAATTCAAATTACTACAAAGTAATATGTACAAACAAAATGTTAAAATAATATATTTAAATATCTTTTTTCTCAAGAACTTTCTCAAGAAGTTATATGCAGTATTGATATGGAGGCATTCTCAAGTAGTACATGTATTAGAATTCAAGCCCCCTCCCCTCCCCCTCTGTAAACTTTTCAATTCGGATCTGATTTGTGTTTTTATCTAGCTCAGGTGAGCGATGTGGCCCCTGGGCCTCTTGTTACAAATAGGTCTTTGTTGTGTTTTTGACATTAAATAATCATAAATATTTCTATATCCTTTTTTGTATACAAAGTATTTTTAAAAATTCAGTTGATATGGTTTAACAAAAGTATTATATGAAAATTGTTTGATATTTGGCAATGCAGTCAAAATACTTTGCTTAATCTTCATTTTCGGTAAATACACCAAGTGGATACGAAAGATTCGTTATCATTCGTCGCCCTCCCTGTTTCTTTGGTAATAAAACGACAGGACTACAACGCAAATTTGTAACTGGTAATGAAGGAAAAGGACCTAATATACGACCTAACAGAATGTTCTCTCTATTTTTTATCCCGATTCTGCATTCTGTTCTGAAGCAGATTTCATATACCGGGTATTCATGTATTCTACAATTTTCTTACAACCCTGATATTGTAATGAAAAACCTTCTCTAAAACCATGATCTGATAAATGTGCCACATTTTTATCTGGGATAATGATGCAACAGTGTGAGCCGATTGTTTACTTTTACAGGGGTACTACCCAGGTCCCATAATCTATTGAATAAATTTCTAGTACATGAATTTCTGACAAGGACGCTGCTGAGGGAATCTTAGCCTGTATTGGATTTGTTGGGCAAGGAGGTTAGGTTGGCTTCTGACAGTGTTGTGGCCAAACCTGCAATTCATAGAAGGATGAGCCCTGTTACATTTTGTTGGTTGAGATTTAACCTGGATTGATTAAGGCAGGCCCACACTTTTACGGATCCGGTTTTAATTTTACACACCAATATAAAATTTTGATTATCCTTATCTATTGGGGAAAAAAATCTTTTGGATGATTAAAAATAATTTAGCAAGTATATATTTGTTTATTATAGTGTCATTGTGCACACAAAGCATTTAATGTACATTATTTATAGGAATAACCACTTTGCACTCTGTCCATAGGATCTATATGTGATTTAGTATATACACAGACAGAGAATTCTTAATTGCCTTTATGGACCTAAAGCTTTTTTATTTTTTTAAACAAACTAACTTGAGATCTATTTATCTTTAATTTTTAGCCTATATCATCTTTTTAAATTTACTTTTTAAAAAGTTTTGCGAAGAACGATTGAAAAAATAGATATTCCAAAAATGGGGGTATAGGGGTTCAAAAGGCTGTTTTGTAAAAATTTTCTGGTCAACCATAATAAAGTATGTTTTTTTGCTAACCTAAGATATAACTCTAAATAATTGTAAAGAAAAAATAGCATATAAACATATAAGATTTTGAGAAATATTTAAAATAAAGATATTTTGAGCTTTTTGTCTGAAAGATTTTGACAGAATCAACATCAATTTTTTAGTGTTTTCAAATAGAAATTTCAAATATTTTCTTGACAAATGAATATTTATGATTTTCTTAAGTTTTAACAATAATTGGATGTGATTTGGTACATAGCTAAATAA